AGAGGGTAACTAATCATGCCAGCATGTGTGGAAGGTGAATGACAGTAGTGGTGTTATAATCTACAAGTGCTAATAGAAGCAGGACTTAAAACTGACATGTACTTATGGGGTGCCAGGCACTGTTCTGAATCCTTCACACGGATCAACTCACTTAGGCTATTAACTCAAGTCTTTAGGCCAGAGTCGGACAAGCCTGAGTTTAAATCGTGGCACCGTCGCTAATGATCCATGGCCTGAGACGAAGCGGCTTCACATCCCTGTGCTCCAGCCTCCTCCCGCCCGAGATGGTAGCAAGAATACTTAATCCAGAGTGTATACGGGATTACCTAAAACTAGATTCGGAGGAGTGCACCTAGCAGACACGCTGGCCACTGCCTATTTACAGTTGCTCTTAACAGTAAAATTATGAGTAAATCTTAGAGCCCAAGGTATCAGTCAGAAAGCATCAGTGGGAAGAGACGCTTTTCTTCCATGGAGCTCTCCTCCTTAAAAAAAAAAAAAAAAAAGCCTTCCATAATTTTAAGGTTTTCTTAGAGAGAACGAACAACACATGAGTTTAAAAAACACAAAATCAAAAAACAGTATTATAGCCAGGCGTTGGTGGCGCACGCCTTTAGTCCCAGCACTTGGGAGGCAGAGGCAGGCAGATCTCTGTGAATTCAAGGTCATCAGCATGGTCTACAGAGCAAGTTCCGGGACAGCCTCCAAAACAAAACAGAGAAACGCTGTCTTGGAAAAATAAACAAGCAAAACAAAACAAACAAAAAAAATCAGTATTATAAAATTTAAAGAACCCTCACACTAGTGTTAAGTTTCAGGTCCTCCCCTCCAGAAATGGCAGTGTGATAAATCCTGTATTTCCTTAAAGTAAATAGTGCTGACAATGGCATATGGCCGGGGAGTTTTCCAAAGAAACGGCTCCACACAGCCTTCCCCTGCTCTTTTCTCTGCCTTTTAAGGTCACAGTAACATGGCGGGGAATCTGGGACGCATACCATCTGTCCAGACAGTTCCCTCACTGCTCATTTCTCCCGCTAGTCAGAGAACTTCACACCTCCCAAACACTGCTACTATACAGAGCAGAGGGAGGGACGAAAGCTGTCTCTACCAAAAAGTGTGGTGCCTGCACTGCAATGAGCACTTCTCGCGAGGATTCTGTTTTCAGGTCACACCAGTGAGAAGGACATTCACCCTTGTTAGGAATTTAAGACAAAAGACTGACACATTACGTGAAATCTCAAAAAACAGGTGTAGCAGCTTCATATTGAGCTGACTGGATGGCATCTATTCTATATGTCGCACAAGACTATGGAAGGGGTCATTTCCCCCCACTATTACCGCAGTGGTATTCACACCAGCTAACAGCACTCAGGATATCTGGACACCCTTAAAGTCCTTTATGCAATGATATTTTTAATCCTTAAAACAAGGCTGCATGACAATGTCTAATATTATTTCCCCTTTGAAGTGGAGAAACCTTATATAGAGAAGTTAAATAAAAAATTGCTGAAGGCAACAGAACTTGTAACAAGTACAGTGGCATTTAAAAGCCAACTCTATGATCTCAAATTCTAAGGTACTCTGTCTTATAAGGAAGAAACTCATTATACACTAACTTTGGAATTTCTGTCATATTTTGAATAAATAAGCTGTAAACATTTCCACCACCCCCAATTACCCAACTGTAACTGTCACTTATGGTGCTGGCTGGTTTTATGTCAACATGACACAAAGCTAAAGTCACCTGAGAGCAGGGAACCTCAACTAAGAAAGTTCCTCCATGAGATCAGGCTGTAGGCAGACCTGTAGGTCATTTTCTTTATTAGTGTTAATAGGGGAGGCCCCGCCCATCGTGGTGGGCCCCGCCCATCGTGGGTGGGTCCATCACTGGGCAGGAGCTTCTGTGTTCTATAAGAAAGCAGGCTGACTGTAGATTTCCTTTATTATGTTTAGGTATGGTCCTTATATCCCTGATACCTCCAATACTTTTATTATGAAGGGGTGCTTGATTTGTGAAAGGCCTTTTCAGCATCTAATGAAACGGTCATGTCATTTTTTTTCTTTCAGTGTTTACATGGTAGATTACATTGACAGATTTCCATATGTTCAACCTTCCTTGTATCTCTGGAATGAAACCTTCCTGATTATGGTAGATGATCCATTTGATATGTGTGCTTGGATTCAGTTTGTGAGCATTTTATTGAGTATTTTTGCATCAATGTTCACGAGGGAGATTGGTCTGTAATTCTTCTTCCTTGTTGAATCTTTGCATGGATACACTGACACATGAAAAAGTGGGGAACAGCCTTGAATGCATTGCCACAGGAGACAATTTCCTGAACACAACACCAATAGTGCAGGCACCAAGATCAACAGTTAATACACGGAACTTCCTGAAACTGAGAAGCTACAGTAAAGGATACCATCAACAGGACAAAATGGCAGCCCACAGAATGGGAAATGATTGCTACCAACCTCACATCTGACAGAGGGCAAGTATCCAAAATATATAAAGAACTCAAGAAACTAGACATCAAAAAACCAAATAATCCAATTCAAAAATAGGATAGAGATCTCAACAGAATTCTCAACAGAGGAATCTCCAATGGCTGAGAAACTATTTTAAAGAAATGCTCAACATCCTTAGCCATCAGAGAAATGTACATCAAAACTACTCTGAGAATCCATCTTACACCTGTCACAATGGCTAAGATCAAAAACACAAGCAACAGCTCATGTTGCAGAGGATGTGGAGAAAGGAACACTCCTGGTGGGAGTGTCAACTTGTAGAGCCACCCTGGAAATCAATATGGCAGTTTCTCAGAAAATTGGGTATTGATCTATCTCAAGACCCAGCTATACCACTCCTGGGAATAGACCCAAAGCACATTCCACCACACCACATGGACACTTGCTCAACTATGTTCCAGCGGCTCTAGTCACAGTAGCCAGAAACTGGAAACAACCTAGATGCCCCTCAATTGAAGAAAGGATAAAGAAAATGTCTACATTTACACAATGGAGAACTACTCAGCTGTTACAAACAATGACATAAGGAAATTTGCAGGCAAATGGATGGAACTGGGAAAAAATCATCCTAAGTGAGGTAACCCTGACCCAGAAAGACAAACATGGTAGGTAAGTGGATATTAGCGGTAAAGGATATTCATGCTATGGTCCACAGACCCAGAGAGGCTAAGTAACAAGGATCTCCCTGGGAAGGGGAAGTAGAATAGATTTTTCAGGTTGACTGGGGCTTAGTGGGGTTGGGGATGGGAAGGATTAGGTGTTGGGGGAAGGAAAGGAGAAACGGAGTACAATGGAGAACTCCATGGAATCTATGAAGGTGACCCTAGGAAAGATTCTGAGTAATGGGGGACACAGAGCCTGAACCAGCCATCTTCTGTATCCAGGAACGGCCTCAAGTATACTCGAGTAGAGGAACTGAGACACCAATCCAGTCACAAACCTTCAACCTACAGCCTGTCCTGCCTGCAGAGCGTTCTGGGACCAGAGCCTAGCAAAATCCTAATCAAAGAGGCCAGAGACATCATCCAGAAACTGATGGGAGCAGATGCAGACTCCATAGGTAAACATTAGGTAGAGTTCTGGAGTCCTGGGGAGGAGGGGAGGAAGGATCAGAGGAACCAGAGGGGTCAGGGCCACGATGAGAACATGGCCCACACCATCAACTGACTGGACTCACGGGTGCTCGCTGAGGTCAGGGAGCCTGTAGGGGCTGATTGAGGCCCTCTGCATACATGTTATGGCTGAATAGCTTGGTGTTCTGTGGGATTCCTAACAGTGGGAGTGGGGGGTGTCTGACTCTTTTTCCTGCTCATGGGACCCTTTTCCTCCTACTGGGTCATCTCGTCCATCCTTGATGTGACAGTGTGTGCCTGGTCTTATTGTGGCTTGTTATGTCCTGTTTGGTTGATGTCCCTGGGAGGCCTTCTCTGTACTGAGAGGAGATGGAATGGGAGTGGACCTGGGGGATAGGGGAGGAGGAGGAAAAAATGCGGGAGGGGAGGTAGGGGAAATTGCAGTTGGAATATAATATAATAAAGGCGGAGTAAGCAAGCCATCATCAGTAACTCATTAAGCAGCACCCTCCATGGCCTCTGCATCAGCTCCTGGGTCCAGCTTCCTGCCCTGTTTGAGTTCCTGTCCTGAGTTTCTCCGATGATGGACTAGAATGTGGAAGTGTGAGCAAACAAGCCATTTCCTTCCCAGCTTGCTTTTTTGTTCATGGTGTTTCGTCACAGCAATAGAAACCCACACTAAGAAACACTCATAGTCATTGATTTGCTTATTTCTAAGTATATTTACATTTTTTAATTACTTTTAATTTATTTGTGTATGTATATGTATGGGGGTACAGTTTGCTGCATGTGTGAACTCAGAACTATTTGGGGGATTGGTCTTTCTTTCGCCATGTAAGTCCCTGGGTTGTTAGGCTTGGCAGCAAGTGTCTTACCTGCTAAGCTGTCACACTGGTACATTTCTCTTTTTCTAAATTTTTATTTCTATGTATCTTACACTCAGATTTTATTCAGTAGATTGTGTTGTCAGAAACCAACGTAGTTTTTATAATTAACAAAAGTTTAAAGAGTATACCCTAGGACCACAGTCAATTATGGGACAGTTTATAGCTTTCAGAAAAAGGTTTAGATAACTTTCAAACCTCTAGAACAAATTTACTTTACAAACTTCAGGTGAAGACTCAGGGGCCCTAGGAGGATGGGATGAACCCAAGGAAAACAGCATTGCGCACTGACTGCGTTAACTCAACATGGCTTCTTTGGTTGACCAGCCTTGGCGATGCTTCCTCCTCTCAGACCATCCTCACAGCAAGTTCTCATGTGAACTTCCCAGGAAATCTGGACTCTGGGTAAGCTGGAGCATATTAACCACTGATGGAGCCCCAGGGGAATGGCCCCTTCTCCTTTCTGAAATGACTCCCATAGCCCCCTTTTAGTAAGTACTTATCTGGCTCGTACTTAAACTTTTTTCCTGTTTTGGCCTGAGTGCCTCCATTCCACATATGGTCAGTCTCTTCATAGAAGAAAAAAATGTCAAGTTTTACATCATCTTTTCCCTGGAAGGATAGTTCCAAGCTGTCTTCTACCTATAAGGAAAATGAAAACCTTCATAGACAGGAACAACAGGAACACATTTTCAAATTTTAAATAAAGAAAAATGTTTTACGTATAATCCTGAATGCATGTTTTTAAGCTGTGAAAGTGGGATAGTATACTAGCTTTTTCTTAAACGCATATAAAATAATGTTTCTTAAACTGATGACAATTCATCAGTAAATGCTTCATGGTAGGTAAAACTGTCATTCTGCAGGGAAAATTGAAGTACCGTATTCCAGAGCCCCCTTCTAACTAAAGGAGGAAAGAAAGGGGAACTTATCCTAAAAGCAGGGCTCACTCGGGACTTGGTGCCAGTGTCTTCAACAGCGTCACATGATAATTTACGTGGCCCGAGCGCTCATGAACCCGTCTGCACACTTCCCTGGAAAGCACAGTATGAGACACCAGCATTTGCAAGTCTCTGCTGAATGACTAAACCTTCTACTTTAATGTTAGCCTCAGACAACATTAAACTTTTTTTAAAAAATAAATTATAATGACTACTTCTAATGGGGAGAAATAATTTTTCAGGAATAAAAAAAATTTGACTTGCTTTTCAGGATACTACTTCCCTGGGAACAGCACGATTATCACAAAGGATCATGGGCTTTTGGAAGAGCAATCAAACTGTCCAGAGTTCATCTTGGCCACATTAGCCTCTGAGGAAGTTACTCACTTTAGCCCATGAGAGCCAAACAAGGAACTCAACATTCGCTAAACACAGCTCCATATCCCTTAGCAATCAATGGTATATTTGCGCTGATTTTTATGACATCTAGTCCTAAATGAGCATTTAATTAGATGACTCAGAAAAAAATTGAGCAGGTGTGATTCTATCTTTATATTATCTCCATACCACACTATGGCATAAGAGAAGGCAATACATCTATTACAGGAGCCCAAGACCCTTCTTCCATCATTATTAGTAAATATAAGGCCATGTCTTCGAGTTTTTCCTTAAGTAGTACAGAAATGTTAAGGGGTAATAAGCCAAACCTGGTAAGTGCTGGGTGATAAAATTACACTTGCCACATCTTTAATTATGTATAAGTTAGTTAAGGTAAACTTTATAACTGAGACACATTATTTATGAAATTAAGTTGATTGTCACCAACCTTTCCAAATTTGTGTTTGAGTGGAAGTCCTGCATTTTGAAATGCCAAAATAATATCAGGTTTGTAATCTTGTATAAAAATTCCTAGGTCGACATCTTTGCTGTAAGGAATGATACTGCATTGTCGATACCATCCTAAAAGGTGGGGGGAAATTTTTTTAGATTATATTTGGGAAATGAGTTATATCATGAACAAACTTTATAGTAATGGCTATCATTTCATAAAGTTAAGGTTGGGGTGCTTCATCCAAGCTATTTTTTAAAAGTTAAATCCCAAACTAAACAATTGGTTAAGGCAGTTATCTTGAAGAATCAATCTCCCTCCTTCTTCCTCCTCCCTCCTCCTCTTCCTTTCCCCCTCCTCTCTCTCCCCTTGGTCTGAGTGCTCTGCTCCCTCAAAAGCTTTAACAAAGTCATGCATGGTGACTGACACCTTTAGGGAAGCCTGTTCTGTTCTACATAGTGAGTTTCAGAACAGCCAGGGCTACACAGTGAGATTCTGTGTAAAAAAAAGTTTTCAGGATACACAATAATTTCTGAATAGATCATTAGCTTTAATAATACGTTAATTGGGCCATCCACTTAAACAATTGCTGTTCAAAGTGTTTAATCATTAATGTTTAATGACTTAGACTGCTTTAAGATGTGCTAAGAATACTTAATTCTCTTAATATGCTTTCCTGAGTCCATAATCTATAGCACTTAGCAGCTCCCACAGCTGGTAACCGATGGGCCACACAAGCTCTAGTTACAGTGTGATATTCAGTTTACACCAACACTGTTTCCCAGTGTTGCCCGTGCATCTACGTCTTGCTTAGGGGCCTCAGCAATGCTCTAAGAGCGCTTACTCCCTCACGTCACTAGTAACTCCCGAGTCTTCCCTGCCTGCTTCTCATCTTTCCATTCTAATATTTTTTAAGGGTTTGTTTATTATATACAGTGTTGTTCTTGCATGTATGCCTACATGACAGAAGAGGGCACCAGATCTCATTACAGATGGCTCTGAGCCACCATGTGGTTGCTGGGAATTGAACTCGGGAACTCTGAAGGAGAAGCCAGTGCTCTTAACCTTTGAGCCATCTCTCCAGCCCTCCAATAGCTTGTAAAGTAAGTGTCTACAGTCATCCCAGTAAGCATTGCTATTACAAAATATTATTTGGCATTTTAAGAGAATTCTAATAAACAATTATGAACTATTAAAAATGAAGGTTTGCCAGGTGCTGCAGTGCTCACCTCACCACAACCCTCAGGAGGCCGAGGCAGGCGGATCTCTGTAAGTTCAAGGCCAGCCTGCTCTACATAGAGAGTCTGAGGACCGGGCCACATAGTAAGACCCTGCTTAAAACACAAAATACAAAAACAAACAAATAAAACACATAAGAACCTACCGAAACCTAAAAATAAAAGCGTTCTTAAATATCACTCAACACACAGTATATATATAATCCTCTTATTTTATAAATAAAATAAACCACAAGGGTAAAAACTGAAATCATGACAAATGACTAAGCACTTTTGGTTACTGACTATAAAAACAAACATGCTTCTATAAACAGCTTTAGAGCAAATATGCATACATAAGAGATTATCATGTACTCTTGTATGCTTTTACTATTTTGTTGTTGAGACGGGGTCTCTCGTATTCCAGACAGGCTTTGAATTTGCTACGTCAATATGGCCTTGAACTTGAGTCTCCTGCCTCGCCCTCCTGCGCTGGATTAAAGATGTGCAGCTCACCCAGTCGAAGCATGCCATCTTTCATACAGCCCAGTATACAGGAGAGCCACAGTTCCCAGGCTGCACCTGTTGCCCCTGCACAATTATTTAAGGCATTTTCTTTCAGTCGCAAAGTGTCCTAAACTGAAAAATAAAATCTACCGTAACTTTTTAAATGCTGAACTAACTAGAACTAACTTTTGTACAAATAGTCTCTCTCTCTCTCTCTCTCTCTCTCTCTCTCTCTCTCTCTCTCTCTCTCACGCACACACACACACAAAACCAGATACAATTATAATCAACTACAAAAATAATTGAGAAGGAACAGAAAAAAAAAACCAACAATCTTAAGGATCTACATAATTCTGAAGGCCAAGAAGCCAATATAATCAATAGTGTATCCAGAAACCTTTTTCAGATTCTAACAGCTGCTGCTTAAAACTACAGAAAGTGTCTTTCCCCATCTCAGGTAAATAGGGATGTCTAACCTGTGATGCTCTCAATGACCTGGGAAAGTTACAGATGACCCTAAAGCATGTCTGTCAAGCTTCCTCTCACTGGAAATGTTTCCTGAAAAATTTTAGTTTAAATCTATAATAATCTTTGAGACAGAAATAGTAAAATGTTAATTTAAGGATTAACTGAAAACCAAACATAATCTACATGTCTGATGTAAATCTGTACCCATTATTATAACTTTTAGTAAATACAAGTGGCTTTATGATTCTATTTTGTAGGGCTGGAGAGATGGCTCAGAGGTTAAGAGCACTGGCTGCTCTTCCAGAGGTCCTGAGTTCAATTCCCAGTAGCCACACAGTGGCTCACAACCATCTGTAATGAGATCTTCTGGCCTGCGGGTGTACATGACATGCAAATAGAGCATTCATATACATAAATGCATAAATAAACAAGTCTTAAAAAGATCCAATTTTATATTTCATCAATTACTTTTTTAAAGGAGTCAACACATCTTTGCTTCATACATTTATGTTCATTCTACTTATAAATACTATACTTCCAATATTACTGATGCCTGATCCCCTCAAGCATTCACTTCTAAAGCCAAAAGGATGAGACAGAGATAAAAGTAAAGCATTTTTACCCAGACAAGTTCCACTGCTCAGCCAGAAGGGCACTCCCAGTTCCTTTAATGTTTTGGCTGCTAGCTGCAGTAATTCCTTTGCCCTCTTCCGAAAGGCCATAGCGTCCACAGTATTATCGTCAAGGTACTGCTGCAAGTTTAATAAACAGTTATCTATTACAACAACCGCTAAAATGCTAGGGACATTTCTATGATATCTGAATTAAACTTGGAAACTAACACTATTTTTTCTATTTACAAAGTTAAAATTCGGGGGCTCGGGTGGCTCAGCGGGTCAAGGGTTTGCGGTACCAGCACAAGGGAGGCCTGGATTTCGAGTCTCACACCCAAATAAAAGAGGGAGTGCTGATGTCGGTCTGTGATGTCAGGGTGGGAGAGGACAGAGACCAGCGAATCCACCAATTCCAGGTGAAAGGAGAGACCCTCTCTCCTCTGTCAAAAGGTGAGGTGAAGCAGTTGTGGGCTGCTGCTAACTTGTCCAAGGTCTGGTGCATGGCCCCGCCCCATGTGCACGCAGGGAGCACTGATCGGATTCTGTGGGTAATAAAACACGAGAAGACACTGGGGGGGGGTGTACAAGGGACCCAAGAGTGGATATAATCAGGGTGTAAGAGAGGAAGACACCCAGTCCCAACCTCTGGCCTCACAGGCACAAGCGCACAAATGTGCCCACATACCTACACTCATGCGTATACCCCAACAGCCCAGAATCAAAGTTTATAGTTACTTCTTAGTCACACATTAAAATAATTTACCTAGACTCTAGAAACCAGTTTAAGAGGAAGACACATAAGTAACTAAGGTTCCTCAACAATGAGACTTCAACTGTTTTCAGTTTCTTCTGTGCAGGCTGGGCAGTTGGGAGGAAAAAAAAATGAGCTAATTGCAGAGCTAGAAGCATGATTTAAACAAAACAGATTAAACGATGTCTCAGATGCACAGTCATTTACCTGTCTTTAGAGATCGGGTAATTAAGCTGAAAGACATTTTTGAGTCAGACCATCTGAGTAGAACTCTGGGTCCACTTCCTATCAGAAGGGCAGATCATTTTACAAGAGTGCAAGCTCAATGAGGAGACTCTGCTTGTCTGGGTTATTGAGTTAAATACCCTGGTGTCTAGAACAGTATCTCTACGTCTGACAAATGAACAAGAGCATGGAAGAAACAAATTTCACTGTAGTTAATGTCCTCATTTATAACTTAAGATAATAACTATGCTTTATGAAACTACTTTGCAGATCTGAATGAAAGCCCTTTTGTAAAGTATAAGGATTTGTTCTGTTACCTTTTACTTAGTCATTTTACTTTTCTGATTTACTACATTTTATTCTGTAACGAAAGAAAACAGTATGAAGTCTTTCAGTGGTATTTCACTATGGAACAAAATACAAACTACTTGGCCTAGGAGACCAGGGACACAGGTCTCTGGGTACCGGTCTGGCCTCATCGCCAGCCTCTTTTTACATGTCTTGTTACAGTAATAAAATGTAACTTCTCTAATGTACCACCATCTTTCCAGCCTGTGCAACTTTATATGCTGCTTTCTTTTTCACCATGCCCCTGGCTAACAGAATCATGCTTTAGCTCCAGGCTCTGAGAAATACCCTGATTTCCCTAAAAAGACAGACGAGTGTGTTTCTGTTCAACATTTGCTAACACAGAAAACCAAGCAAAACAGTCGGCTCCTCCATGAACTTACAACAGTTACCACTTACACAGACTTTTAAAATCTTTAATTCTTCTTTCACTGTTTCATGTATAAGGGTATTTTGCCTGTACACATGTCTGTGCACTATGTACATGCCTGGTGGCCATGGCAGGAGGAAGGGGACATCAGATCTCTTGGGAATGGAGTTACAGACGGAAGGTCCTTTGGGAGAGCAGCCGGTGCTCTTACCACTGAGCAACCTCTCCAGCTCTTTCTATCTAGGTGTGACTGTTGGTTTTGTCTCAGTTTCCCAGTGAGGCTGCAAACATGTGAGGGCAGGAGCCACATTTCTCCCCCATTAACCTACAGCTGTGGAGGGCCAGCTGGTACATAGTAGGTAAGCAGCAGATACTGAGTGAAGAAATGACTGGTTCCGACAGTATCCTAGAATGTCATCTGATTTCTTTTTACAGCAAAGCAGGAGAGAATGTAGTTCGTTGAGACATGTCCCTGGGACTGTAAGGAATAGCCTTGTTATGTGGCTCTTGAGGGAAGAGTGTCCTATGAAAGGAAGTCCCCTGCAGGAAGGTTGTATCTATGGATTAAACAAACTATACAGGATACCTTGAAATAAAACATCCTTTCCTCAGTCACTACTTTTTCTGGAACATATGAATGGAGAGAGAGGCATGCATTCTTATGCTTCTAAGAAAGAATGCCTAGAGCTAAATGCTTAGAGACCTAGCTGCTACTTAGACTAAATGCTCAACAGTCATGACTGCCAATGTTAAAACGCATCTTAAAGCTACAATTTCGTCTCCGTTAAAGAACACTTGCCTTATGGGAAACCTCCCTTCAAGCTATTGGTTAGAGGAGTCTAGGAAGCTCCCAAAACAATGCAAGTTATCATCTTTGGCTGTGTTCCGGAAATGAAGGTAAAGACCCTATTGCTGAAGACACTACACACTTCAGACACAGGGCTTGGAGGAATCAAGCTAGAATTCAACTGATGTTGGAGTGCCCACCTCTAGTTAAGACATCTGCAACACAATCTTCATATCGGGATGTTCACTATGAGATAGTGTCCTCTATAGATAACAGGATGTGTACCTACAAATCTTAGCAATATGGTTACCTAAACAATGACAGCACTAGCTGACATTACAATGTGGATGGGGGAAATTCTAGGCCTCAACCTCTAGATGAAAAGCTACAGGCAATTAATGGCTGCTAATCCATTTTTTCCAGTAATGGGTACCCTGATAAGTTATCCAATATTGTTTAGTTGGATCTTACAATTTAATTGGGCTGTAGATAATGATTTGAACTTATGGATTTCAAAAAACAGATTTAGAAATAAATATATACACATATGCATAATGTCACTGTTAAGCGAGAGGGCCTGTGTACAGCAATGGGCATGCTGCCTGCTGTCAGACTTTGGCAAGGGCCCATGACTTAGAGAAACGGCTGAAGCCAGGCCCGGGACAGGAAAATCAGAAGAGGAACTTAGGACATCTATGTTTTGTGAAAAATGAAGAAAGATGGAGAAGAGACAGAAGACACGGGTGACAAGTCTTCTACCAGCCACACAGCAACAATCTGAAGAGGAAAATCAAAGATGAAAGTAAGGGTCTACAACTCATTAAAACAGGAAACCATGGGTTCCTTATTTCAATAATAGCTGTGATGAGAAATGTTAGCATTTAAACAGCTGCAAAGTAACTTGCAAACAAATACTGAGAATTACAAAGGGAAAAAGCAAAGTCACAAAAGCATGTAAGACTTGAGTTGAGTGAATGGTGTGAACATCAACAGTGTTCTGTAGCCCTTGAACTCAAACACTCCCACCAGAGGGAGGAGGGAGGCCATAGGACCCGGGAAGGAAATGAAACCTAGAAGTCACAGGAAGCTCCCCAAGCTGCAAGACTCACAGGCTTCACCCCAAGGTTCTAAAGGTGTCAACAATTGCTAGGGTGGAGAGACTCCCTGGAAGCTGTTTAGGAGCTCAAGGGTATCCAGCTTTGCTAAGTGTCACCTGCTCAGGGTGAGCTTCTTGGCAATGCTTAAAACTGGTCTTGCTATATGCTATATGCCTTAGCAGATGCTTAAAGCCGGTCTTGCTATATGCCTTAGCAGGCCTTGAGCTTTAGTCTGTCCTTGTGCCCTGACCCCCCAAATGTGGAAATTACAGGTGTGTGCTACCACACACAGTTAGATCGAAATTAAAAGCAATGTGTGTTGTGTGTTAATTCTTGGTTTTTTTTGTATTCAGATATAGAGAATATTCTAGTTTTTAGAAAATACTAAGTTATTGGAGGCTTCAGGACACTGGTTTATATAGCCCACTCTCAAATGAGTCAGAAAAAAAAAACCAAAAAATGACTTTTTGTATTGTACTTGAAGCTGTTATGTAAGTCTGATAATGTTTTTAAAAATCACTACTAAAATAAACTGGAAAGCTAGGGGGCTATTTTACAAGGTTTTTTTTTATTGGATTAATTCATTGCTATAACCATACTGTGGGTTTCATTTCATTTAAGACTGTTTGGCGCCATCAAGTGTTCAAATAGGTGTAAGTTAATTTTAATTTACCCTCCTGGTATTTTACTTATCATGGTCCTAACTTAACAAAGCATGAAACACGTAAGAGGATAAACATAAAATCATTACCAAGCCTTTTAGCAATTCCCTATCAGTAATATCAACACAACGGCACAGGGAAACACAAATCAGGCATCACAAATGGCAGGGCAGCCATTGACTACGGTGAATAAAACAAGGTGTCTGCTACCACGCTCACAGAATTCGGAGGTAAGACACACTGCACTGTGCTAACTGCTCTGGCAGAGGTGGGCAGTGCCCTGGGGCAGGAAGCACCAAACCCCACCTTCTACCTCTTATTACCATGTGGAGAGGCAAAGCCTCTCACCTGCTCGACAGCCCTACAACAGTACATTCAAACAGGCCAGGAAGAGCGAGGAGAACCAGCGTCTTGGCATCAGCACACAGCATCCGAGACACCTTGTATTTGAGTCTGGTATTGGGCAGCAATACAAAATGACACCTAGTTTCTCATTCTATGTGTCCTAATTTTCTTTCTATTGCTGTGATAAACACTATGATCAAAAAGCAACTTGGGGGAGAAAAAGGTTTAATTCCTCTTACAACTCCTAGTCACACTCCATCCCCGAGGGAAGTCAGGGTAGGAATTCAAGGTAAGAACTGGAGCACAGACTTGGGCGGTGCAGTGCACGCCTTTAATCCTAGCACTCAGGAGGCAGAGGCAGGTGGATCGCTGAGTTCAAGGCCAGCCTGGTCCACCCAGTGAGTTCCAGGATGAACAGGGCTACACAGAGAAACCTGGTTTTGAAAAACAAAAACAAAAACAAACAAACAAACAAAAAACAAAAAGCAAAAAGACCACCACTACCACCACCACCACCACCACCACCAAAAAAGCAAAATAAAGAAACAACAGAACCGAAGCAGAGACCTTGCAGGAAGGCCACTTACTGGCCTGCTCAGCTCTAAGTCTTCTACACCCAGAATCATTTGCACAGGTGTGGCACTGCCCGGTGGGCTGGACCCGCCCACATACAAGGCAAGTAGAAGAATCGGGGAACCAAATCTCCACAGTCAAACTGTCTTCACTGTTTCTCTAGTTTCATACAGTTGTTGCAGCTGGAAGTTTAGATCCATCAAAATCATTGTGTATCACTATAGCAGAAGCCAAAAGGCTAGAACAGCACAGGAAAAAAGCTGAAACTGAGCTGGCGTCGTACAGCACCTGTCTAACATTTTGCCAAACACACTCACACACTCATATTCAGTGCCAAATGCCTGACAAAAAAAATCCCTACTTTCAATGGCTACATTCTAAGTCAACTTGGACTCATTAAAAAAAAGTCCTTTTAAAATAAAGCTGTGAGCTATCGCAACTGTGGAATGAAGCCAGTATTAATTCTATCAGGGTCTAATAAAACAAAGCAATAAATATATGTCCATTCTCCATTTAGGCAAGAAAAAAGTGTGTGGGAGCATGAAGCCCAGGGATGCTTTCTAACTGAGGTCCTGCCTTAGCTGGCTGGGTGTGGGGCTGGTTATAGCCTTGCCATAACAGGCAGCCTGCAGAATTGATGTTTTCCTAGTTGAGACAGGGTCCTGTTGGCCCAGGCCCTCTGAGCTCACTATGTAGTGGAGCATCTCCTTCAGCCCTCGGCCTCTGTCTTCCAAGTGCTGGGTTACAGGCACCTGCTGCCACCACACCTGCTCTATGTGGTGGTGGGAATCAACGTGAACCCTGCGCATCTCTAAAGTGGGATGGATCTCTGTGATTAAGTCCCAGAACCCACAATACATGTCAGACAAGCACTCAACCAATTACACTATATCCCCAGACCTCAGGGAAAAAACATTAAGTTTTTAGCTTTAAATGAAAAGAAAATAAGCAGGATGAAAAATTATCAACTTAACATAAGCCATCTTCATTTCCTCTTAAAACCTAAATGAGGCATAATATTCTCATTAATTTAATTTAGAAGTGTATTGTCTCTAACCTGAAGGAATGCCCGAGCTTCTTTATACCTGCACTCGATAAATCTGGAGTGTGGTACTTCTTCTAGAAAGTGTCCTGGGTCTTTTGGAATAAGCACATCTAGTCCATCAATAGTAACTTGCTGTAACTCTGGCCTGAAAATGAAAGTTAAGATTTACTATCAAGGTTTACTCCAGGACACAGGCAGCCTTTTAAAATGGTAAACATTAGCAAAGGAGTTAAACATCCAGTGAATTTTCCTCAAATACTTGAGGCATCAATCAGCAACTTTTATTAGGCCTTGTAAATCTGATGTCCAATAGAAACACAGAGTTCTAGTTTTAAGTGTTTTCATTAAGGCCGCTAATTTGGGGGTGAGGAGGAGGGATGGCTCTATGGGTTGAAGCCAGGACCCTCTGCATGCTACACTGAGCCACACCCCATCCCTCTTTTTTTTCTTCCAGGCTCCCCAAGTCGCTGCAGCTGGCACTGGATTTGCAGTCCCTGTGCTTCAGCCTCTCATATAGCCGGGATGTAATTACAAGTCTGTGCCACTAGGCGTGGCTCAGTGCACCTAAAATAGTTTTACAGATACTTTGGCGTTTTAAGCAGAAATGAAAATTAGATGACATCTTTTTCAGTTAGAGAATTAGATAGTTCTTACACTTAAGAAATACTGAGTAAATTAGAGTCACTTGGGAGCCTCACTGACTGGAAAGATACCTGAAACCCACTTTCTATCACTACTCCTGAGAACTGTCTATTCCTATGGAAAACCATGAAATGTACAGGTGACTATATCCACTGGCACACATTACACTTGCAACATATTTCTTAGCTGGCGATTTTGAACTTAACTAAATTGTTAATTAAACTTTGATATGAACTTTTAAAACCTTAAATAATCGACTTCCTTAAAAAAACAACAACCCTGTTTTAAACACAAAATAAGAAAAAACTGCATAAATGTGAATAATGGGCAAGATTTCGACAAAAATAGAGGATGCAACATTGACAACAAACTGTTTCTTACAACCCACTAGTCACTTTTGGTCATTTATATTTCCGACTTCTCCAGTTCTGAACGCCCTTTCAGCTGTTCCTCAAACGCGTGACATTAAACACTAATAAGAAAACAAAACTAAGCACTCCCTTACAGTTCTAAAGCGTGGCAGTAAGCAGTGATTCTCTGAAAGTGGCCTCATAAGGTTTCTGATATGAAAACTTTTATAAGAATGGTAAACTTTAAGGTGAAGGGCAAGTATTCACTGCTATATTTACATCAGACTCCAGTATTTCAGACAGATTATGACATCGTTATTGATGATTTCCAGGACTCTGGTAAGAAAGCTGACATTCACAGTCCGGGTTCACCTCGTGTTCCTCGCCAGCAGTGTTTATTATTGTGATAGGAAAGGACACACTTCTACAGAGCACCATTTTCATTCTATGATTTGTCTAGGTTTCCTGAGGCAGAGTTTCATGACTGCAGCCAGGCTAGCCTGCAACTTGTTAGTTAGCCCAGCCTCATCTGCAGCTTGCAACATTCAGCCTCTGAGTGCTAGGATTTACAGGTATGAGCCACCACCTCAGGACATAGGGAAAACAAAACACACACACACAAGACAGACACACACACACACACACACACACACACAAGACACAAAGGCACAAAACAACGAGTTACAAGCATTTGTGTTTTCATCTTCATCACAGACACTGGATCTTGTCAGCTTCCTGGAGGTCTCTGTGTACCCCACTCACTAACTCCCTCTCTACCTTTCCCATCTAGGGATACAGTCTATGTTGTTTGGGGGGGTGTCACTTTTCCATACTAGTTTTAGTACCTTTATTCCATGAACACTGTAATTCTTTTCTGCCTTGTTTGCCCCACCCATGCTGATGCAGAACTGCAGCAGGTGTCCCTGGGTTATAATACTTCAATGTATGAGCATATATGTGTATACATAAACATAAGCACACGATACTATGGATTTATTAATGTTTATTGTTACAGACTTACCTGTCAAAAGCTCCAGGATAACGACCAAACTGTAACTTTCGAAAAGGAACAAACTTCCTGTCCATGTGTCCTTTGAGCCGTAGGTGACCATGCCAGAGGTAGTTGCCGCTTCTCTCATGAAAGACCACCAAGTGTATGGCGTGAGTGGCCAGCTTACAGACATAGTGCAGGGGGATTGCAGTTCCGGAAAGGGAGTCTATTCCGTCTAGTCGAGGATCTTTGCTTTCAATCTTTAAGCACTGAAATCCCATATTCTCAGCTATCCGAAACCAGCCATCCTAGCATGAGACAAAGATCAAGCCTGAATATTTAAAACCAAATACTAGTGACAAAACTAAAGCGATGGTTACACCATTAGTTAAGCCATATTTCTGTCTTAATTTGCTTTTTGGCCAGACCATTTAAAAAAATAAAAGTAGTACACAGAGAGTTGTAGGAGGAAGCCTGTATGCCGCCATTAACCACGTGACTTACTAGAGGCGCATACAGATGAGGTAATAAAAGAGCAGTTTACCACACCGCTAACCACACCCACTTTAGGCATGACTAAAGACGTATACAGATGACGTAAAGACATATATATACGTACGTAGGCGGTGAACTACGTAACTAGCCAGGCCCTTTTGAAGCATAGCTAATAATACACAAAGCCACTCAATGTGAACAGAGTGTAAGCACACGGATCTCTCCTTTACTACCCACAGAAACGATGTGGGGCCAGCAAGGAAGGCATGACTTAAGTCTAACCTATAGTCAGGGAACATGAAGCTTTAAGACAGTGTCTCACTGGCCACAGGACTTATGTGTAACCTATAGTCAGGAGACATGAAGCTTTAAGACAGTGTCCCACTGGCCACAGGACTTAGAAACAAGTATCGAGGATCAAACCCAGACTGGGAGGCTTGGTGACAAGCGAGCTCACCTGCTGCACATCGCACCAGCCCGTAGAGGGCCTTTTGCTTCCTCCAAGACTCTAGTTATATTTATCAGTCTTGCTAAGTGCACATCCCTTTCTTGTAAAGTAGCAAGTGGCCAGGTGCTGGTGGTGCACACCTTTAATCCCAGCACTCTGGAGGCAGAGACAGGCGGATCTGTGTGAGTTTGAGACCAGCCTGGTCTACAAGAGCTAGTTCCAGGACAGCCTCCAAAGCCACAGAGAAACCCTGTCTCAAAAAAAAAAAAGTGCATTGCACTCAAGAAATACTTTGGAAATGTGAAGAAATATTTCTTACCATAACAATAAACTGGTATTTAGAGGCCGAGGCCAGAATTGGTGTTATGAACCACCATCCTGAGCACCAAGCAATCACCATCTTGGGAAGCCCAGTTGGGCTTGCTGACTGCTCGCACCCCTCGTGGAGGGTAAGGAGGGTCTCAGGATCTGCACCTGAGTACCCAGCAGCTCCAACACTTGCTGGATGCAACTCTGCCTTAATTGCACCAGGCAACACCACCGGAGAGGACTAGAGTACAGAGGCCAGGGAGGAGGCCCCACATATGTGACTATGGGGAAGACCACTGTTAGGAAAGGCTTTGCAGGTGAAGCCACTTATTTAAACCAGAAAGCAAGACTGAAATATAAGTTCAAGGGGCTGGAGAGATGGCTCAGTGGTTAAGAAATTTAAGTCCAAGTTTGTGGGCACATCTAAAAAGATACTTCACATGAGTAGCAAACTAATATTGTGTACATACAAAACACAAGAACAGTGCTATGGACAAAATCCTATGTTGAGGTGTACCTTATGCAACACAGAGTGGAAATTCAGCACAAGACCCTTCCTAGCTTGCCTATGTTAACGGAGATGCCCAACACTCACGTTGGCCTCTTCGAGGTCGTGACTATAGTCAAGACAGTGATACGGGAACAACAATTCCTTCAAAAGATAGATGTCCCATCCCTTCCTCTCACTGTCCCACACCAGCACGGCTGTGCTGTTCCCATGGCACTACAGAGCTATGCCGGGATGATGATGGGAATGGACCAAGAACTTCAGCCTGGCTATCAGTGGGCAGGCAAGCTAGCGTCAACAGCCACACTATTTCAGCCTTCCCGGAGAAGAGCAAATGCCTTATCTGCTCGAGGCTTCGTATCCTAGAAAACACTCCCATACAGCTTACACTAAGAGCCGTGGATGTTCTGCATTTTAAATGGTGGAGCCATCTCCATCATTGGGAGCAGCTGACTCACCTCGCTCTTCCACAGGTGATACTGCAGCGCAAACGCAGTGAAGTCTCTGGGAGCACACAAGAATCTGCAGTCCGACGCTGAACCTTGAGAAGCATTTTTCACTTGTTCCAAGTTTTTACTAATCAATTCCAGAATCCAAGGGTCAATGAGGAACACTGGCGCATTTTGGCTGGATGTCAACGTAATAAATTTCTTAACTGCACGCTGTTTGAGAGGAAAGGAGTCTCTTTGAAACCGTGAAGCAAAAAGAATTTTTGCCCCTAGGACTGGGGAACTGAATCCACGATGTCACACATGCTAGGAGAGTGCTCTGCCACTGAGCTCGCTCCCCAGTCCCTTCTGTAGTTTTCATTCTGGGAGAGGACCTTACTAAGTCACCCAGGCTGGCCTTAGACTCCCTATGAAGCCCAGGCAGGCCTTGAGCTTGCATTCCTCTTGCCCAGGAGTCCCTAGTGGTGTGATTAAAAGGCCTGGCTCACTAGGCCTAGCTCATCACAACTCACTTTGTTTCATTTCTGTTCAATTAATTTTCTAAGGACTTACAGAGTGTCTACACAATAGACACCATGCTTATCACTGCACTAGGAATAAGCAAATGAGCAACACACATGGTCTGTCCTTAAGAAGCGAACAGTCTACCAGGGAAGAGAACAAGTCATGCTAGGTCAGAGTAGGAAATGCTACAACATACAAAGTAGGGAGCCAAAAATGGCCAGAGAAGGTGACGTATGCCTGCCTGTAACTTCAGCACTCTAGAGGCAGAGATCAGAGACTACCACAAAGTCTGAGGCAGGTCAGGGTATGTACAGTAAGTTCCAGGCCAACCAGGGATACACCAGTGAGACCCTGTCTCAAAATAACAGCATAAACAAAACAAAACAAAGAAGCACATAAATAAATAAGTAAAAAAAATAAAACAAAGTATTCACAGGTACTATCTGCTCATTTCCCACAACACAGGCTGGCATGTATCATGGCTGTGATTTCCTATCTTTTAATCTTTAAAACTGTTGTTGGCACAGGGCCTCAAGCAGGCGGCTGTCCTTGAACAGTGTCTGTAGCTGAGGATGTCCTTGAACTCCTGGTCCCCCTGCTTCCTCCCTCCCATGTGTGGTTTCCATAGCGCTGGAGACTGGGCCCAGGGCCCCCTGCATCCTAGGTAAACACTACCAACTGAGCTACATCTCAGCTCTCTCTCAGCATTGTTAATCAGGCAGAAAAAAAAGGCTAGAAAATGTGTTTTTAAAATATGGATGTTCTGAAACTTTACAAAAAAAATCCTAATGTATATATTACACTATCTGTTCCCTCTCATCTTACAAAGGAAGCACTGAGATTTTTATCCCTGATTATTAATTTCCCTTTATACTTATAGTTTGATTCTTGTTCATATTTGGGAAAGCATTATAGTTCAGTGGACAAGAATTCTAGAAATAGAAAGTTAAATTCAGGATTCAGATGTTCACTACCCAACTAACCTTAATCTCCCTGACTAGCTAAACCAAGAGCAATATTCATACTGACTTTTTAGGTTTCCATAAGGACAAAATGAGATATTCCATGTAAAGCACTCGACATAGAGTCTATTCATGTCCAAGGTTGCTATTGTCATTGCTATCATTCAACAAATACTGGAGAAGTATATCAGTGAATGAACTAAAGACAACACAAACACTGTCATGGAGATATCTGTCTAGTACACACCCACCGTGTACTATCAAATCCAATTCGGTTTCCCTTGTCTATAGTACATGCCCACTGTATACTATCAAATCCAATTTGGTTTCCCTTGTCTATAGTACATGCCCACTGTGTACTATCAAATTCAATTCGGTTTCCCTTGTCTATAGTACATGCCCACTGTATACTATCAAATCCAATTCGGTTTCCCTTGTCTATAGTACATGCCCACTGTGTACTATCAAATCCAATTCGGTTTCCCTTGTCTATAGTACATACCCACTGTGTACTATCAAATCCAATTCGGTTTCCCTTGGATTTTGATGAACCAGTTCCATTCTAGAAGACAGCAAAAGTATATTTTGGTAAACTCAAGCCCAACACACAATATTCAAATGCTTATTTCATACTCTAAAGCAAAACATCATATAATTTATAATACAATAACCCAAGATGTAAAACACTGACAGAGTACAGTAAGTTACTGGAATTATTCAATGGTAATGGCCAGCATTTCTGAACCAATTAATGCCCATGGTAGAATAGCATCTGTACCCACACTTCTACATCTGTCTGTCTCCCGCCCCCACCCCCTCTATCCCTCTGTCTGTCCTGCCTTGGTCTCCCAAGTCCTGAGACTACAGCATGAACCAGCCTGTTCTCTGCTATCTCTGAAATTAGGGTTTGTCCATTTAACTCCATATTTCTAACTTCATCTCCATATACTGAATTAGTGATGAGATGGAAAGTGAGCTTTACAAAAGTATAATAATGACCCCATCTCAAGTATCAGATTCTGTTTGACACTTCCAAATAAAAAAAAAGCACCCCCTCATATACTCCCTCATATCAACACTGCAAAATCATTACTTCTAGTTGACCGATGGCCCCAATAAGCACACTTTTCATTATGTGCACTATTACTTCAACTGTTCTAGGTAACTGATAAGTTAATAGTACTTTTTAGATGTCCAGGTTCTGAGAGTCAGAAGGAAGAAAGGAATATTCATATGAAAGAAGTATTCATGTCATAAGCCCCCAAATAGTTTGAAACTAAATAGGAGAATGTTGGACGGTCTAGAAACAAGAAGAATGTCTCAAGCGCAAAGAAGCTGACAGCTCCTTGTGCGGTCAATGCTTTTCTACCTATAAAGTATAAGTAACTGACGGTGCTGACGGACAATCAGAAGCACCTCACCCTACAGACAACGTGTTCAGCATTCCTAAAAAGGCTCCGTCTCATTAAACTGCACCCTCAAGGACAGGTGCCCAGGGCACGCTGTCTCCATGTCACTGTGCCTGGCCTAGAGCTTGCTTAAATAAATGCTAGAACTTGTTAACTGGAGGTGAAAAGGGAGGAAGAGTAATTGAGGTAGAGCCAGACTCAGTCTCTCAAAAGACCTGTACCTTAGACAGTAACAGTTTAATATGGACATTTGAGAGAAACAAACAACAACAAATAAAAGCAGAGGCAACTTTGTGACCCCCGTCCTGACGATGGAGACTGTAGACAGTAATTTGTTTTTCACTACATTAGGAGAGGAGGCTGAATTTTAAAAAAAGATTTATTTATTTATTTGTTATGTATACAGTATTCTGCCTGCATATATTCCTTCAGGTCAGAAGAAGGCACCAGATCTCACTACAGAGGGTTGTGAGTCACCATGTGGTTTCTGGGAATTGAACTCAGGACCTCTGGAAGAGCAGCCAGTGCTCTTAACCTCTGAGCCATCCCTCCAGACCTGAGGAGGCTGAATTTTTAAGCTGCTGAATTGGCCAAGTTTGGAATAAATGCATTGTAATTTTGAACTGCTTGCTAAATCCTACAAAGATGAGAACCTCAGGGAGAAATGCTTCTGTAAATGTTACACATTATTAATTGTATGCACTTCAATTTAAATATTAAGAAAACACACAGTCACAATGATGTCTACTAAGAAAAAAACAGAATTACCTTTGCTGACAAATAGTGCTTGTAGTAGTACAGCTGAAACAGCAGAAATGCAGAGCTTGTCAGTGTTAAAAGGGCCAAGAGCACATTCTTATTGATTCTACTCATTGGTCTGTAGTGTTCTCTCAGATGTTTTTAACAGTAACCCAGTAGTTTTCATCTTCTTCATGAAACAGGAAGATAATTGTTTTCTGCAAACAAAGGGGGTACCTCTGCAAAGAAGAACAGGTCAAATTGGTAAGAAATAGAAAAGAAAATTAACCTCAATAATCATTGATAGCACACACACACAAGTTATGTAGCCAAGCATGGTAGTACATGGCTATAATACTAGCATCTGGTATGCTAAGGCAGGGATATAACAAGTACAAGGCCAGCCTAAGCTACACAGTGAGGTCTAGACCAGCCTGAGCTACACAGAAAAAGAACCCTTCTCAAACACCAAAAGCAAAACTGGAAAAGAAAAAGGATAAGAAAAACTACCTGCAGTTCTACAGGGCATTCTGACCAAGAAGGGATGCAGGGGAGGGGCGTCTCCAATGTTTCTGACTCAACAGACCTGGCCTGGGACCTTTGGATCTCAGAATGTATGTCTGACAAATTGAAAGGTGATACTACTTCTGATCATACTTAGAACTACTCCCACAGGAAAAAAGTGAGAAAGTCAAGGAGCATAGTATCTAGCTGTTCATCTTGTGAGGGGTGTGTGTGTGTACACATGCATGCAAAATATGGGATGCTCATCAATGGCCTTGGTATCTGCAAGGGTAAAGAACACCTTGGTAAATATTTTGGTCTTTTGTCCTGGGTATTACCTTCAATTATTTCTTTAGAGTAAGATTTTAGTGTGTATATATTTCCTACCTCCTCTCCAATACATGATTTTGGTTAATTACTTTTAAATGCCCTCTAGTGTTTTGGTTTATTTCTTCAAGAATACTAATACCCCTTTTACTCAATAATCTAAGTTTTCCATCTTATGTTTTCTGGTTGTAAGTAGAAATTGGCAAACTATGCTACCTTCTGTCTTTTTTCCCTTTCCTATGTATTTCTACCTCGATATTTTATTCTGTTGCATACTACGTTATTTTACTCTTATTCGCAGTGTTCCACAGTGACCCTGTATACCCTCTGCTCACTCAAGCTTCTCTGCAGCTTATACAAAACAAAGTAAAGGTACTGCTTACTCTCGGTGTTTGCGCTGCTTAAAGCCAGATGTCAGTAGAGTCTGGCTGTGAGGTCACACTCGCTTCTCTCAGTAAGTTACAGGGTTCATAGCATTGCCCTGCAATGCTCAGCAGTCTCCTGCTAACGCTCAGCTCCACAGCCCCCTCCAGGGAATCTGGTCTGTTTCAATGGGACGCACAATGGAGTACACATATTCCCTACCTTGTTGTCCTAGACTACATACTGATAGTGATTACTGTATATTCATTTTCCTCTGGTCTTTGTGTGTTCTTTCAACATATAAAGATTTATTTGTAGGAAGCGTTTAAGTCATTTGAATACTTTCATTTCAACACTGGATTCTCTATTTCCGGAACTACAAGAAGTGTATCTCCTCTCCTTCCTGTCTCAGTTTGCTCCGCTTCCAAAGCCTGTCATCAAGCCACCTCGCCGAGGCTTCACCGCTGACTTTCCATTTCAGCGTGCCCGTTGCTCCTAGTGTCTTCACCTGAGCTCTGCCGGACGGCTCCCTTATAATTAACCTCCAGCTCTCGAGCCAATGAACGTCGCTTGTAATTTTTGCAGGGCTGCTAACTGAACCCAAGGCTTCTATCTGGGACTGGCAAGCAAATTATCACTGAGGTCCAGCTAACACTGCCATTTTAAAAGGCGTGTTCACATGTGTGCAGGTGCAGGTAAAGGACAGAGGTGTCCTATGCCCCGTAGCCGGAGTTACAGGCGGTTACTATGAATCACCGACATAGGTACTAGGAAGAGCAGGTCCCTGGGAAGAGCAGAATGTCTCAACCACTGAGTCCTCTGCCTTCCATTTTAAAGACGTAGCTGTTTCATAAATTGCCCTCCTCAGGCCTGCAGGATTTCATCATGGGTGGTCACTTGTTTTCCTCTTGAAGTACTTTTGATGCACCATGCTCATTTCCTTTATTTCTTACATTTGAATGGCCTGAGTCCCCAAGACCAGCTGTTCATAGGAATACCGGGTTAGGAGGGGCAGCGTTATATTCTAGACTAGTTGGAAGTTCTTTCTGACAGAACAGTTTATACGTGAGTGTATGTGAAGAAAATGGAGAATATATGTTAGATGTTAGGAAAAGTTAAAACATTACTCCTTCAAGATGTCAGAAACAGGTACCAAAAGTCCTTGGCAATCTGTCCCTCCGTTTGCTGCTGTAAGGGTGGGGCATTTGTGTAGACCGTATATGCTTTTCTTCTTGCTAGTTCACGGATGCTCTCACACCTCCCCGACCTCCTGTACACAGAAGAGCCATGTCTCTGTCCCATCTGCTCTGAGATCTCCTTCTTCAAGGGTCTTCCTTACATGGGTTAGCCATTGTTCAAATAGCTCAGTTTGGGTTACAGCAACATTTGTCTCGGGGAAGCTGCATTAACACCTGTCTCCTACTTCTGTGCTGTTTCAGGGTAATTTCAGAGAGAAGAGAGCACAAATACTTTTACTCTGTCATTTTAAAGTCCTAAGTTTTGGTGTGGAGCTTTAAACCATCCAAATGAGCTGACAGAGCTGACGCCACATAAAACAAGCACTGGAAGAGGTCACGTAAGAGCAGCACTGCAGAGACGAGAGTCACCTGTCCATCTGCAGATATTGTACCACGGTAATGGGATAAGCATGACGTTCTCTACTACACTGTGAAAATTAGCAACATCCATCAGCTCTGATGGTGGTCCTAGAGTCTGCTGTCAGCTAAAACTTGTTATAATGGTTTCATAGGGCAGGTCATGAATAACAAGAGTATTTCTCACTCTCCAGATTTAGCTATTCCTCATACACATATTAAATAGCAGGCCCATGTCATGCATGCTGCTTCCTGGTGAAATTTCAGCTGGCATTCAGACTGTACAATGCATTCTTAAGCCTCTCTAAGCTCAGCTAGTCTGAATTCCGAATTAATATACTTTTGCTTTTTGGGCTCTCCATTTTACAACTAATACAAAATTAATTCGTTAATAAGATAGCAACCACTTAAACGAAGCAATGGGACAGTTTTAAAAAGAGGTATCTTTGGGAAACATCACTAGCCGCAACATCTTCAATGGCACAGGTACTAAATAAATCACGATGATACTGGTATCATAGTTCTTATTTGTGACAATTCAGCCATCATTATAAAAACTGTAAGAAGGATAACACATTTCCTACTTTATATGTATGTAATGAAGATATTGTATCATGTGCAATGGAAAATATTACAGAGCTAATAAAATGAGCAGAGAAAAGGGCAAATATCCGCAGAAAAATAAAAAGGAGATACTTACAGAAGAGGTTTAAGCAGTTCAAGTACCCTGAAATTCTCAACAGGACAAAAATAGTACATGAACTGAGACCTTGCAATGGAGAGGACACAGCTAAGAAGAGGTCTGGGGTATCAGAGCTATCAGTCTTCTTGCCTCTGACCCTGGGCCAGCTAGAGTCTAGACTCATCTTTAGGGAACAGTGCTAGGAGCCTTTATCATTTACTAAAGAACTAGCAATTAGTATTCTAGGCATCAACTCCAGAATATTTGTTATTACGAATTTGGCTGTATATAGAATATATACTGGGTACTTTGTGTTCTCAAGTAGGCCACAGAGAAAGGAATTCTTTCTTACCAGGCATCAGCAGTAAGAGCTGCAGCCTCCGGATTTCACACTACATAATCTTAGTTTTTCCCTTTGATACAGTGCTGAGAAATCCCCTTTAAACAGCTAATGGCACATTCCATAAGTCACCTCCTTAAGTTTTCCAAACCACATCCACAGGGTGGGGATGTGTGCGCTCGTGAGACGCCTGCTCTTCTTGAGACCGCCTTCCTGGCTCTGAGAGATATGTATGCCCTAATGTCAGAGAGTTGTTAAATGTGCCTTAGATATAAAAACTAGAAGCCTTGTTTTCATGAGAATTTTTAGGAGAAACTTTTGGAGACTTTTTAGAAAGAACCCTAGGAGAATTTTTAAGGAGAACTTTTGAGAGAGAACGTTTGGGAAGAGCATTTCTTGAAGAATAAAGAGCCATGAGAAGAATGACACGTGTATGAACTGATTCACTGGCCCTCAGAACTTTTTCCCGCCTGAACCCGTGATAGAACAGAACACACATTCTTTTAGCTTTCATTTCATCTTTTATTATCAATTTTACTACACATCACTACATGAGCAAGGTTGAAAAAAGTGGTATGAGCCAAACACACTTGTGATGGAAGCGAGTGCAAAGTCAAGGTTGTTTTCACACTCTTTCTGTAGCCAAGAGCATCACATAGCTCGCGGTTCACAGCTGACATTCAAATATGCCCCAATGGGGCTGGGGCGGTAGCTCAGCGGTTAAGAGCGCTGGCTGTTCTTCCAGAGGACCTAGGTCCAATCCCTAGCACCCACATGGCAGCTCACAATTGTTCCAAGGGATCTGACACCCTCATACAGATATACATACAGGCAAAAACACCAATGCACATGAAATAAAAATAAAATAAAATGTCCCAAACTGCAAAGCCAATAGGGAGGCAAACTATAGAGGAAACAGAACAATGCAGTTCAGTAAATGTATGGTTAGGGGCTCAGGTAGCAGAATGGGAAGCATAAAAAGGAAACAAAACCAAGGACCACTCAGAAGTTAAAAAAGAAAAAACTGAAAAAGCAAAACAGTGAGCGATTTTAAACTGTAAGACATCAGGAAGTCTAGGCGGTATCACCAATGCTATTACTTACCCTCTACAACCTGACGTCAGACCTTATTGCTGAAGACCCCGTGTTCTTATGTCACTGGACACAGAGAAACCAAACTGATGCTCAACTAGAAGCTTCGCCCCAGGTGCCTAGAGTTCACAGTGCTGGAAGGTATGACACGGACTACTGGAGGAGCTAGGTCACCCTCGACCAGCTGTGAACGCTGTGAGCTGTAAGAGCACCCTGTCTGCAGGACAGACCCACTGACTGTGCAATGGTGGCACAGATGTTACAGGATAACCAGCCACCTTTTACTTGGATTTAAGCCAGCTCTGTGAGACGGAACCTAACCCTGACATGCTAATGAGGACGAGAACCCCGAGCTAGATAGGTCAAAGGTTCCAAAGGAAACCCTACAATAATTATTCTGCCAAATGAACATAGAAATAAAATGACTCCTAACCATATATTGTTACACCCATAGAGCACTGCATTGCTCAACACTCATCAGAAAAGGAATTTCTTGCAGTAGATAGTAATTAATATGGACATCCACAACCTAACAACATTCAGGGTGAGAGACTTTGGAGCACTCAGTCCTAAAGAGAAAGCCCATTAAAGTCCTCCCCTGGAGGCTCAGGATGTATGCAGAAGAGAACGCAGAAACTGTTAAGAGCCAGATGTGACCAGCAACCCCAAGGAAAAAGCATTTTCCAGACACAACAGGGATGATTCACATTTGAACCCTCAGAGACTGTGACAGCATGCACAAGTCTTGTACTAGTTCAAGCCAGACAAAAATCCCAGCACAGAGAAGGGGAAATGGGCACAAAGTCCCACCTCTAAACAAAAGCTATGTGTAGCCGGTAACTTCAGGGACGGAGGAAACCAGTTTTCTTTAACGGAGTGACAGAGGTTGCATAAAAACACAAGAGAGGTGAGGCTGGATCTCGGGAGAAAATGGAGATGCTTTTCTTTTCATTTAATGCTTTTTTTATTTGAACTTAATTTTATAATATGAAAAAATAAAAAATTCTACTCTCAACCAGGTATGGTGGCGCACGCCTTTAATTCCAGCGCTTGGGAGGCAGAGGCAGATGGATCTCTGACTTCAGGGCCACCCTGGTCTACATAATGTGTTCCAGGCTGGACAGGGCTTCATAGTGAGAACCTTGCCTCAAACGGAACAAAACATCACCACCACCAACTTCATTTTGCTAATGTGTTCCCATTGCTAGAACAGTAATAAGTCTGTAGTTACTACGCATGGAGAGGATGCGCGCAAAGCAGTGTCTACAAACGTATGGCGGTAAGGCGACCTCTAGTGTTATTCCTCGGGTACCACCAGCCTCTGTGTGGGTGTGTAAGGGGCTATGCGCACTCGTACGCTGCAGGTATGTAGACTTGTATGTGCTGGGGGCATTGTGTGAGGACATGACCACGCAGGCCAGAAGGTGTTAGGTATTTAGTTCTTTCAGACTGTACCTTATTCCCACAAGACAGCCTCTCTCTAACTTTGAAGCCAGGCCGGTGGCTAGCAATCCTTATTTTTGCTGACCCCCCTCCCCGCGCCGCCGCCGCCGCTCCTCCCGTGCTGGGATGATGGCAAGCAAGCACACAGCCATGCTTGGCTTTCTACATGAGCGCTAGCATCTGATTTCGGGTCCTCATCTCATGGTTGCTCTCTGTCTTTCCATAAACCCCCCCGCCCGCCCCTTACACCCTAAACACAAGGTCTCTCACTAGCCTGGCACTCACTAAGCAGGCTAGGGCGGCTGGCCAGGGATCCCCAGGAATCAATCGATCATTCTGCGTCCGTCTCCCCAGTTCCGACATTATCCCCGCAAGGCTCCCATGCTCGGCTTCTCCAGGCGCCTTCTGGGAACGGCGGTCAGACCGCCACGCTCGTCAGGACGAGCACTTTGGGGGCTGAATTAGCTTCCCAGCTCAGATCGGGCTATCTGACTTACACTGCGCGTTGTTTTAAGTGAGTACGCTGGCTGACTTTAGGTGAGCTCCCCGCCTGCAGTCGCCACTCGGGACGCGGGCGAGCAGCGGCGGCGCCTCCCCGCCCTCCCCTGCGGAGGGAGCACCACCCGGGGGTCCTCACGCCGGGTCGCTCTCCCCGCATCCCCCCGGCTCCCACCGCCCGGCTCTAACCACACCGCCCGGCCCGGCTTCTACGAGCGCCTCCGTCCGCATCCAAACGCGCAGCCGGGCCAGGGCGACCGCGGGCGGGGGACGGCGGGGCTCCCGGGCCGGCCGCAGCCGCACGGACCCGCAGAGCCGAGGGCTCCCCCGCCGCCCTAGGGCAGCCACCCCGCCAGTCCCGGCGCCGGGCGACCGCGAGGACGCCCTGAGGACGCCCGCCCAGGCCCAGCGACCCGGCCCGGGGCCCGCGCCCTACCTCACTCCGCGGCAGCAACGGCGGCGGCGGCCTCGCTTTCCGGCAGCCTCGGCCGCCGTCGCAAAGCGGCCGTCAAGCGCGCAGCCGCACGCGCTGGCCCGGGCTGTGTCGGCGGGGACTGTGCACGCCTCCTGCCGCTGAGCCCTCCCCGGTTCTCAGAAAGCCGCAGGCAGACTGAGAGTTTAGGAAAAAACAGCAGAAGCAAGCAGAACTGTCTTCCCCGCTGTGCGGGCCCCAGACCGTGCAGAAGGCCGGGTGCTTGCAGACTTCGGAGGGATAACGCCTTCCTTCCTTCGTTCCTTCCTTTCTTCTTTCCTTCCTTCTTTCCTTTCTTCCTTCCTCTTTCCTTCCTTCCTTTCCCTCCTTCCTCCTCCCTCCCTTCCTCCTTCCTTCCTCCTTCCTTCCTCTTTTCCTCCTTCCTCCTTTCCTAACTCCTTCCTCTCTTCCTTCCTATCTCCTTCCTTCCTTCTCCCCTTCTTCCTTCCTTCCTCCTTCCTTCCTCTTCCCTCCTTCCTTCCTCCTTTCCTAACTCCTTCCTCTCTTCCTCCTTCCTTACTATCTCTTTCCTTCCTTCCTTCTCCCCTCCTCCTTCCTTCCTCTTCCCTCCTCCTTTCCTTCTTTCCTTCCTCCTTCCTCCCTTCCTCCTTCCTCCCTTCCTAACTCCTTCCTTCCTCCCTTCCTCCTTCCTTCCCCTCTTCCTTCCTTCTCTCAGAATGTTTAAGCTGGTGAGGTTGAGTTGCCTAAATGACACGCAGGTCTAGAAGATGCTGGCTTCCAGTTTAGGGCCCGAAACAAACAGACAGTTGTGGGCCTGGCATCTTTTGCTTTTAATGAAGTAGTTTGAAGAGTTATTGGTAAGGATCGGGTGTGGATTTTGATAGGAATTTTTGGAAGTTGAAAAGCCCCAGAGGAATTATTGTTGTTTTAAGTTCTCTCTACAAAAATGCCTAAGGGCCCACAGAAACAGATGAAACAATGTGCCCTCCGCGTCCAGTTCTGTGTTATGTAACTCAAGCTGGCCGTAAACTGCCCTTGTAGCCCACGTGGCCGCCAATGGATTCTAGTGCTTCCGCATCTGAAGTGCTGGGATTACAAGTCTGCACAGCCACGGTTGGCCTAAAAACAGAATTTTTCTAAAACTGCGATGGAATGTGACCGTTTCAAAAAGTCAGTATTAAGCCAGGCATGCCTATGATTCAAGCATTCAGACGTCAGGGCCCGAGGATGAGGAGTCAGTTCTCGTCTCCTAAGAAAACAAGTTAAGACTGACGCATGCTGGATGGAGTGTTGAGCGGTGTTATTCAGAAACAGGCACTGCTTCTTATGCTAAACAGCAGCGTATGGAAATTATAAGTAGGAAGAACTCTGGGGTTTTTTATAAGTGAATGCTTTTCAAGCGCATGGCTGTAAGCGTGGCCGCTGTGAAGGGAAAGGCTGCCCCATGGCGTTACAGCTCTATTCCGGAAGCGTGGGGGAAGGTTTCCCGAGCAGAAGAGTTGCAGCTCTGCCCCTGCTCCAAGAGGTGTCCTGGCAGTTAGAACACCACGGAATCACACAGTACAACAAACCTCACATAGGTTTCTTGGGAAGGAAAAAAACCGGAAGGATGCTGCAGAATGCAATGTTCTTCTATAGGGTTTCTTGGATGGGTAGGCGGGGAGGGATCTCTCCAGCATAGTCTGGGATTCTGTGGGCTGCTCTTTAGCAAGCTCAGGGATTGGTGAGATTTCATGCTCAAGGACTAGTAGGATTCTGTGGCCCCATCTTGGGGCAAGCTGAGGGATTGGTGGGATTCTTTTTCCTAGCCCTGGTCAAGTCAGGGTCAGGGTGTTTTTCCTTGACCCCTTTACAGTAGCAAATCCTGTCCTATATAAACCTTGAGAAGAGGCAGTGGACTAGCCAGTCTTCTGATTTAAGCTTAAGTATCAATCTCATTGTTTTTCCTACATAAGCACAGTCATAATTTGTCATCTACACATTCAAGTGTCCGTTATTGTAAAATGGACCATAATTTAAAGATATATGCCAAAGAAAGAATTTGGAGCCCCTCCCATAAAATTAGCAGTTAATTTCATTCGGCTACCTTAGACATAACTTTTTAAAGGAGATCTTTATTTAAGCATGCACCTGTAAAAACTTGATAACCTCATACTCTATAAAAGATCTTTGACTTGCACCCATACACAAACCAGTGTATATGAATGCTGGGGACTCATAGAAGTGTCTATAAATAGTTAATTGTACTTTGTGATACACATGGTCTAATTTAGATATCGTACTATAATTAGGTAGACTGTCAGCTTTTATTTACATTGCGTCAAGGATGCATGACACTTTCTTGTCACTTTTTTAAAAATTTATTATTATTACATTTTTAATTAGGAACAAGCTTGCTTCACATGTCAATCCCAGCTCCCTCTCTCCCCTCCTCCCATACTCTACCAGCCCCCTCAGCTTCCCACCCTCTCCCCACTCCCTTCTCCATAGGAGATCTCCATAGTCTGTCATTTGGTTCAGGGCAGGGCCTAGGCCCTCCCCCAAGAGTCCAGGCTGAGAGAGCCTCCCTCTTTGTGGTATGAATACACTTAGACATAACTTGTCAGCAACATTTTTGGCAATTTACCTCTTGCAAGTAATTTTATTCTTCTCAACATGAAAAGGCACATGAAAAACAAGGCCCCGTCTACCATTGGAAGTTGGAAAATAACACGGTAAACACAACTTAACCGGTCACAATGGTGCTTGTTAATAGCTTGGATATGAAACTCTCCCCAAACGCTTCTGTTGGAAACTTGGTCTCTCCAGGTACTGGCAGTTTTACCACCTTGGAGAGGTAGAGTTCTAAAACCCTGGAGGAAGTGGGCCCTTAGAGGGGGCAGGCATTAGGGTTTACAGCCCAACCCTACTTTCAGTCTTCTCTCTGCTTCCTGGTCCAGTCCATCTAGAAGGCAGTTCAGTCAGCCACCTACCCCCTCCTGCCATAAACTTGCCATGCCCCACGGTGGGCTTTAACCTCTCCAACCATGAGCCAAACTTATTCCCTTAAGTTACTGCTCTCAGACACTGTCAGCCCAACTAGAAAATGGGCCTTCTCAAGCATGTTAGAGACACTTGTGAGTGACATGAGTCCACCACACAAGTGTTTTAATCTGGTTAACCAAATTCAAAGCTGTTGATACAGGATGAGTAAGAATAGCCTCTGTTAGAAGCAATCTTCAAGAATCATCCAGGAGTGTGTGTACACACATCCTGGCCAGTAACATTTGAGGCATTCTATGGCAACGGAATAAAGTACCAGCTCTAGCAAATTTAAGTAGCCAGGAGCTTAACCATCAAAATGCCTTTTCCTGGGGCTGGATAGATGACTCGGCAGTGAAGAACACTCAGTACTCTCCCAGAGGACCCAAGTTCTATTATGTAACTTCAGTCCCTGGGTATCCAATGTCCTCTTCTGGCCTTTGAGGGTACCCACACTCATGTGACATACACTCACATGCACTTATATATACCTAAATAAAGGTAAGTCCAAAAAATCTTTAAGTATCTATCTGGACAGATAATTTTTCTTAAGGAACATAAATCCAGATTCAAATTTAGAAGTCTCAGATTCCTCAGACAATATTGGAAAATGACCGCGTAAGTGACTTGGTATTCATGCATATAGACACTCCACTTGGCACATCCAAGCACATCTGGTTTCTACAAACTGACACCATGGTCACACACACACACACACACACACACACACACACACACACACACACACCTATGGTACAATCTTATTTTCTGAATGGACCTTGGGAACAGGTCTACACAGGTTCTCAAGGAAATCTTAGGCGTGGCTAGGAGAAGAGTTTTGGGGTACTAGCTGTCTTTTGCATAATAATCTAAAATTGGGTTATGTCCTTGGAAGCCTGAGGAATTCCACCTCTAGTTTCATTTCCTGTTGTGGCAAAATACTGGCAATAACAATTTAGAAAGAAAGGTTTATTTTGGCTCCCAGTCCCAGATTACAGCCTAACATATTAGAAAGTCAAAGAGGCAAAAGCTTAAGGGAGATGCTCACGTCACATCGTGAACCAGAAGAGAGCAAAGAACTGATGTGTGAGTGTTGTTAGCTCTCTTCCTTAGTCCAGGGCCCCGCTGGTGAAATTACGAGTAGGTCTGCCCACTTCGATGAATTCAAATAAGGAAGCCCCACCCCCATAGGCATGTCCACAGACTAACCTAATTGAGACAATCCCTCACTGAGACTCCCTTCTCACGTGATCCTATATTGACTTGGGTCAAGTGAACAATTAAGCCATCAGACACCCTTAGGGAGTTCCAGTAGGTGGAACTAGGTGAAGCTGGGAGCTTATTTCTACCATGGAGTTTCAGGATGAGTCAATATTGAGCAGGGTTGGGTTAACGAGGCATTTTATACACACACACACACACACACACACACACACACACACACACACACCCCAGAGAGAGGAGCTCCTTTCCATACCCATGCCCTTAACTTTCCATTTCTGTCTTGATTCAAGTACAAGACTATGGAAGCAAAATCAACGCAATCCCTGGATCCTTCCAACTGTATGGAGAGAGGCTGAGGGAGACAAGGTCAGGGCCTGTAACCCAAGTAACTTGTGCATGCAGACATTTTCTTATTTTCGCCCCAGAGAGGGTTTCTCTGTGTAACAGCCCCCTCAATTTGTAGACCAGACTGACCTTGAACTCACAGAGATCCACTTGCCTCTACCTCTCAAGTGCTGGGATTAAAGGCGTGCGCCCCCCGCCGCCACCACCACCTTACCTGCGTGAAGTATCATACTGCATATACTACTGGATAGATCTATTTAGACTATGAATACCCTTCATCGCATGTACCTTAACACAGTTGCAGAGTTACACAGAAGCACAGTGATACAGTCAATTCCTTTGGCGTTCACCTTAAGCAAGGTGGGTACAAGCAACTAGTACCATGCAGTGTAAATGCAAAACTAAGTTTAATACAGAAAAACTTCAACAGAAGACTGCACATGATTTACTAAGGCAAAGCCCCAAATTTAGAGGACACCAACTGCCATGGGGTTTGTGTTCTGGCTGGAGTGTGAAACACCCCTCCAGGCTCTTATGTTCAACAGTGGTGCTGCTTTGGAGTTTGTGGAACCTACAGTTGCTGAGAGTGTGTTGTTTGTGGGCAAGTCTTAAAGGTTACAATCTGTCTGCGACTGGATCAGTCTCTTTCCCTCATCTGCCGGGAACTGAGAAAGTAGCTTCTCTCTTATGGCTGTCACTACCAACACTGGACCAGCCACCATGCCTTCCCATACAAGACAGATTTCTATCCCTTCAAAATACATATTTCTTCCCTTGTTACTTGTCAGATATTTGGTCATAGTGGCAAAACAGTCTACATATTTATAGTATCAACTGCAGTGAGGGATATGAAGAATATATGTGATGATATATTATTTATGATTTATTAAAGCCTGCCCGAGGTTTCAGAAAGCCAAGTCAGCCGCAAGCTATAGAGATCAGGCAGTGGTGGTATACACCTTCAATCTCAGGACTCAGGATTAAGAGGTAGACAGGTCTCTGTGAGATCAAGGCAATCATGGCCTACACAAGAGTGAAGAGTAGCAGAGCTCACACCTTTGGATCACACACATTTAATCCCAGCAGTGGGGAGGTATACAAAACAAAGGGTCTCGTGGAGATCTCGTCTCTAGCAACACTGAGGAGAGCATGGCCTTCTGGATGACTCTGGGGAGCAGTGAAGTCGGGAGAAGTCTGAGCATCACCCCTTTGCTCTGAGCTGAGGCAGAGTAAGAGCTACTGGCTTGGCTGCTTTGCTTCTCTAATCTTCAGCTTGAAGCTTGAGCCCCAACAGCAGTCTCTGTGTCTTTTATTTTTCATGCTACAAATGTATATAGACCATCATATAGAATTACTTGCAGTTCCAAATTAGAAAAGGGAGCCTTCAGAATTCTGATAGCGCATTTTACTGAGGCAACTTTGAACTGTGGAGGCCATGTCTTTGAGTAGCAACCAAAAAGATAAGGATGCTCCATGTTTGCCTTTCTTCAGTTAGCAATCATTTACTTCTGCTTTAGTGTCACAATGCTACAAACAATGAGGGCAATTTTATCTGTGCATATGTACGCAAGAGAAACCACTGGAAACTACCTTTTCAAGGGTAAGTGCATTTAAAATCTTGATTCCATTAAACTGTGAAGTTATACCCATCCACAGACCTTCTACACCAGATTTCTACCCCCTCAAAATCTTTCCACATACTTCTCATAATGCAATGCTTTCCTTTTATCTTTCTCTTGGTGACAGACTTTAAATACAGGAACTACAGTCTAAATATTGTCATTATATCATGTTTAGTTAGTTTCCCCTTCATTTGTTTCATGTTAGGGGACATACTGCAAACAGGACTGAGTTCTGAGTCTACCTCTTAGGGGTCCCTCCCAAAATGTGCCCTAAGAAGTGTTGTGATAACTACTGCATCTCTGATGTATAAAACAACAGATACTAGTGGCATGTATGCATGTTTAAATTAATGAAAATTTAAAAATTCAGTTGGCTAGTACATTATTCACAGTAGCTGTCCGTGACTTATGGCTACTGAACAAATACAAGATTTTTCCATCATTACACAAAACTCTATTAAATGGCATTGTCTAACATTTTAAGGCAATGACACTATGGCTTTTCTCAATAAACAACTATGAGACACAAAAGAAAGCAAAGAAAAAAAGTTTAATTTTCAGAAGGGATAATACAGGGGCTTTTATAAAAACCTCAGGTGAAACATTTTATACAGAACATACAATCATTTCAACATACTGGACTTTAAAAACAGCATTTAAAAGGCTTTGTCTTGTTTCTAAGGAAAATGAGGCAGTGAGCTCATTTCAAACACTCTTTTAAGCCCTGGTTATATTACATGTAGTTTATTAATGGTCTTCATCCACAACTTAAAGGTTAAACCTGAGGAACTGCAATTTTTATTATCACAACTGCATAGCAAAATCATGTCCAGATAACAGACATACCAAAATCCTGTAGAGTAGGATAACTTGTAAACCATTTACTACATACAATTTATAGCAACACAAGTATGTCCAGGTAATAACTGATATAGGTTGATAAACAAGGCTTTTAAATGTTTTCAATAGAGCTGATGAGTATCTGTCAAATGCAACCAACGGCTGAGCAGTCTGGTTGTTGGGAAAGAATTATTTGAGCCAGCTTCACTCTGCACAGGGTACCAGGCTGTCCTTAATGGAAAGTGTCAATCCCTGATGGAGAAGGAGCTGAACTAATTTGCTTATTTAGGCCTCCACTATACACATGGATGCTATGGAGGAACTTTTACAACCCAGAAGTTATGTAGCTGTTGAGAAAATATACAAAGACTCAGTCATGCACAGAGTAAATTAACAAAGGGCATTTTAATAGGAAGTCTTGTTTTAAAAAATCATCTAAAAATCACTTAAGAGCATGCTTTTTCAAAATAAACAGCATTTACAAGTATCCACACACTTACAGCCATTATTAGTGAAAAGCACCCCTTTACAGAGGACTCCATTTCATCACACTCCTCACAACAGCCCTGTGAGGTAGGCTAAACAATGTACAATATTGTAAGTAAGGCAATAGAGACCCAAAGGTGGTGAGTGACTTACAAAGAGGTCATAGATTACTGCATGGGAGAGCTATAACAACTCATTTTAAACACTTACAAGAATGCCAAGAATCTTAATGACTAGCAGCTTTTACTGACATTACCCACCAACTTTAGCTATTATATCTTAACAGAATCAGTTATGAATTGATTTTACAGAGACTCCATCAAAAGATCAATTAGACTCAGTGCTTTGGTACCTCAGAGATACTGGAAATGTTCAAAGACAAATTCTCATGGTCTGGTGCTGTCTAAAAGCTCCAACATTATTAAAATGCCTTTTACTAATCTCTTCCAATGTGATTTATTTTAGAATTGGTTCACAGTTCCAAACCAAGCGAATACATTCACTGACCTCTGCTCTACATACTGCAAATCCTCTACAGACTTTTTCCTAAGCACCAACTGAAGTTAACTGAGCATTATTAAGAAAATATATAACTTTAAACAAATATAACTTTAATGAGAATGTATTAAAGTCAGTGTATTGTATTAACCCAGGAACAAGTACTCTTAATATGGTTGGGTAGTCAAGATAAAAGTTCTATGGTAATTTCTGGCACTGATTACCTGGCCAATATTACTAACATTCATGTGGCATGGACAACCTTTTAATTCAAACTACAGCAGCAAACAATCCACTTAAATTCCAACTGTTGAAAACTTCCTATGGCATTCAGGTTAATCATGCCTTACAAGTAACACAATACTGACATGAGAATCACAAATGTGAACACTGTTAAGATACAGATAAAACTAGAAATATCAAACATGAGGTAATGTTGCTGCAATGATTTTCCAAAAGAAAAGCTTTATTACCTACTGTAGTTCTGAGTTATGAAAGGAATATTGGTTGAAAATAACAACTTGATGTGACTTGGATACTAAGGAAATCCATGCTTACCTCTGAAAGACTGTATATAGTATAGAAATAAAACCAGGAAAGAAACTTTCCCAGACTTTTGGCTACAGTATAACAGTGTAGTGTTACTATGTGTGGTTAATTTGATAGTTTTGTTTTTTACAAGCTACAACAAATCTACCTTAGATTTTTTAGAGCTATAGTGTGTGTGCGCATGTGCGGGTTTGAGGATGACTTGCAGGCGTCTCTTCTCCCCTTCCATCTGCGTCCCAGCGAACAAGCTGAGGCATCATCGTGGCAGCAAGCTCTTTTCTTGTGGTCCATCTTGCCAGTCCGTGAATTGAAATGATGTATCAACAAAACATTATTTTTACATCAAGACTATAAGAAAGAGCAGAATGCTGTGCTATGGTGAATTAAACTCTGCTGGTTTTGGAAGCTTGGATAGAAAGTAATAAAATTGATGTCATATCACAGAAACTCACGTACTGCTATATGAACTATATGCTGATCTAACTAACAAAGGTGCTAAAAAAGCTATGACTAAAACAGTTAAAATTTTAGCCTTGAGTAATATGAGACTGATATGCTACCTACTGTGCCTAGGTACCTTAGCCTAGAGTAATATATTTCATGGTAAGACATCTACACTGTCTTCTTTTAGGACTAATATTCTTTGGAGTAATCACTTCCCATACATATACCTTTCCAATTTTTTAAAATTGTTTTTTGAAAGAAACACCTGCAAATACATAAATAGTTATACTTTCATGGAAAAGATATATAGAGAAAAACTAATCATTCTAGGTAAGTCAGGAAATAGAGTATCTTGACCTAATTAAAATATTTCATAATAAATATTTTCTTTTATTATTTATACCAAGGACCAATCATGGAAGTTCAGATTATACATAATATTGTTGATTGTTTGATTCCACAAATGAGGTAATGACTGTAAGTCAGTGTCTCATTTTAGACTACTCAGAACAGAGCGTTTTTCAGAGCAGAGTGAGAAGTCACGCCTGCCTTCTAGCTGTTTCCTGTCACATCCCAGAGGTGCCATCAATTAAACCCACAGACAGACAAACTCTTAATACTTTTTTTAAACCTATACCCGGAACATCCAAAGGATCACTACATATTAAATTTCTATGTGCATTAGTAATTAAACTCTAGGTATATTACATATTTACCAAAATTTCAAAGACGTACACAATCAGCTGAGGCAAGCGAATTGTAGCAGAATTCTTTTCCTAAAGTGCACAAGGCAGCTCCTTCCTGTCTATTTCCAGCTAAATTCAACTGCTAAAAGGGGAATCCAATACTCAATACACGTTTTAGGAAGTTGTTACACCCGGTATACCCATTACAGTCCACCTCTCCTGTCTCCTTCATGGCAGCCATGGTGTGTGCGGTGGGCATGTGCAGTGGGCATGTGCGGTGGGCATGTGCGGTGGGCACGCAGACAGGGCAAGGAAGACTGCTGGAGAGGGCTTGCCAGCTCCCATGGCGCGCTAGGCTGGCAGAGAAGCCCAGTGTTTAACTCTGTGCTAATGAGGATGTTAATATTATGATCAAGTTCATAGTGACCTTAGTTTGAAATGATTTAAGTAGGCACTATATTCAATTATTTTTAATTTAAAAACAAGGGTGGCAAACTTCCATTTAACTTAATAACATGGGTTTTTAAAACTAAAATACCACGGATTTGTTCTTTTTTTTTTAAAATAGGAAACACTTAATACGAGCCAGACAGAAGAAATACCTCTGATGCCTATTTTAAAGTAATGAAGGAATAATTAGTACCAAATATCACGTAATAAAATCTTGGAGTCTTATTTACTGACTTTATACTTTGTACTACAAATCCGCTGAGAAGCAACACCTCCCCAGTCAGAGTCGCGCATTTTCCAACGAACTGTCTGGAAATTTTATATGAAGGTCTCCAATGATGGGACCAGGACAAGGAAGATCCACGCGTCCTCCTCTGGCCCTCACCGCTACAGTACGATGCTGCCTGGCTTAAATTCAGTTGACAACGAGAGTGCGTAGAGGAAAAGGCACTGTGTAACTGAGAAGACACAACCATGTAAGACACAAAATCATAATGAAAAGTTTTATATAACAACAGCTGGTCTTTTCATGTCACTTTTGACAAATTATACTGAGTAACCACACAAAGCAGTTCCAGTAACTTACTACTTTCAGATATGAGTCTATAAAAAGGAGCAAATCTTTTTTCTTAGGTCAGGAAATAACATTCCTGCAGGTAGTAGAACTCTGAAAAAGTCCTTCAAACTATGAGAAATGAAAAGTAAAACACTGCTTTGGGGAACCAAAAGAATATTGACATACTTCATTCTGTAAACCGCTTTAGTCTTAGAAACTACCAATGTGTTACCAGATGATAGTGTAGTTGTTATATGGAAACAATAATATCCTAGGTCAAATTCATTTCATCAACAGAACAAATACAATCATGCCAGTATGCAGGATATTGTGAGAACAAATACTTATTATCATACAAACTACACACAGAAAGCAACAATGGACACTTCTCCAGGGAAGTTGTCAAAGCCCAAGATACTTAAATTGAAAAGAAGCTTAAAAGTCTCAAAAATTAATCAAAAGTCAAATTTTCATTTCTTTGAAGGTCTAAAAGCAGTTTTATAATGTCAACTCCTACTCTGGCTCAAAAACTTGAGTTAAAAGTTTTGACGAACTTTGTAGTGGAAGGTTTTCTGTTAATAATCACAGCTTTTCTCGCTGTTTCATACCTTCCCTGGGAAATGCGTGGCTTGGGAAAGACAACTGTGTTCATTTGTGGAAGAATCTCAAACAGTGAATGAATGGAACAAAAAGACAGAAAAAAAAACTTCAAAGGATTGTTTAGAAAACATATGTACCAATTAAGTCAGACAGATGTAGTAGTGTTTTTTTCAAAACAGCTAGCTAAACTATTCCATATCTTTGTAAAAATAACATATAAATTATTCCAGAAAAGAATAGGAATATTTCTTTATAATCTTTCATAGACAAAATGTATAGCTTTTTACCCTTTATAGGACTTACTTAACAAACTTTCATTCTTATTAGTAAGGGTAAAAATAAGCAATAGTTATTATCAGTGCCAAATTTAGGAGGAAATTTTATCAATGGCAGCTTTAAGAGGTGGGATTAAAGAAGAGAACAAAATCAGAAAGCCGGCTTTTCACATGGTATCCAGGAGCCCCGGGCAGAGCAGACGTCAACAGAGGCGCACATGAAGGGAGCTCCCTTTGTGATGTCTAAATCCTTCCTGTGTGCCTGATACTGAGTTATAACAACAGCATCACAATGCCTTAGGAGGAAATTTTATGAATCTAGTCAATAAACAAGTTACCTATCAAAAACGCAGCTTATTCATAAAAGGGTGAAATAAGACACGTAAGAGAGTTTCTCTGCCATCCCTAGGCAATACTTTGAATTTCTAGGAAGCCTTAGGAGACCTTTTGTTTTTAAAGCTTCAGTGTAAGGAATTAATGACAGCCAGTGAGGAGAAAGAAACGAGAACCAGGCAAGGAGGAAGGCAAACTTTGCAGCCCAGGCCCTGTGTCACCATATAGAGTCACACTTACTAGACGAGCCAAAAGAGCTCAAGAACAGAAAAATGGGTTTCTACATAAATATCCCGTACCACCCTTTTCCTACCTACTACTCAATGCCTGCTTCTGTGGCACTGAGTACTTTCCTGTGGCTGCCTGCTATTTGGTGCTTAGTCTAGCGGATTCCAGGGTTTAAAGCAGAGCACAGCAAACCCCATTTCCAGCACTCGGAAACGTCTGTGTTAGGAGCTGCATGGAAAGGCCACGCAATCAGAGGAAGGGTGAGCACAGCCCGGGCGCCATCACTGAGTGACGTTGTTGAGGCTGCTTGCAGATCCAGTCATCCCATTTTCACTTCTCTGAAGTGTTCTCACAGCACTTGGAACCTGCATCCCAGTGCTCAGAGAAAGTCCACCACACCAGACCTAGGACAAGACAAAACCTCCGTTAGACTCCAGGCATCCTTAGCTTTCCACTTGAAAAGCAAACATCACATGTATGAACATCAACAAATTCCAGACTGTAAGTTTCATGTTTGAGCTGAGGAGAAACAGGAAGGCTCACAGCGGCCAAAGGAAGTCTTTTCAGTAGAAGAAGCCACGGAAACTGCACCCAAGAAACGGAACACGGGGCAGCAGAGACTGCAGACACCAAACTGGATTAATGTCAATGGACAATGCTGACTGCGGGTGCTCCCGTAACCTTTACAGCCGGGGGCATGTGCCCCAAAGAAACTTCCTTACCTCACTTGTTACTTTACTATTGAGGCACGGCTTTAGATGCAGGACATACGGGACAGCGAGATGGCTTAGCAGGTAAAGGCACCATCTATGCAAGCCAGACGACCTGAGTTTCATCCCTGGAACCCATAGTACAAGGAGAGGAACCAACTCCTGAAAGGTAATTTCCACATGCACATTGTGGCCCATATCTCTCTGTCTGTCTTTCTCTGTTTTTCTCCCTCTTACACACACGTTAATATAAAGTTTGAAAAACGACGAATGAGCTTATGAAAGATAAAGCCATTTATTTTTTGTGAAACACAGCCTTATTAATCAATAAAGCTAAAAGACAAACTGGAACAGCCAAGAGACTTAAAATAGAAAAATATGAATGGTTTAAGTTGCCAGCTACCATGTATGTAGCCAACATGGGCTTAAAGCAAGGAAAATTCTAGAAATTAAGTATTTCTACTTTCAAATGCACCTTGAAGTGCTCACTACTAACTAGAATATCACACCAACGATCCTATTGATTTAAATGATTAACTACATTGCTAACGTCTAACATTTTTAAAACTAGCAGGCTTGGTAATAACAAATTCCCCAAATGTAAAAACAATCTTCAGAAACAGACATAGTAAATTAACTATTTTTACTACTTAAACGATTCAGGCAAGGTATTTACTTAAGAATCTAGCAGAAGAGGACTGGCCAGACAGCGCAGCAGTCAAGAGAACTGGCTGCTTCCAGAGACCTGGGTGAGGTTCCCAGCACCCACACGGTGGCTCACAACCATCTGGAACTCTAGTTCCAGAGCATCTGGTGCCCTCTCCTGTCCTCTTTGGCACCAGGAACGAATGAGATGGACATATAACCACTGCCTACTTACTATTGCTATGATAAAACACTAAGAACAAAGCAACTCGAGAAGGAAGGAGGTTTTCCTATATTCTGTGTCACAGTCCATCAGCAAAGGAACTCAAGCCAGGAAACTAAAGCAGAAGCCATGGAGAGTTGCTGCTTTCTGACTTACTTCTCACAATGTGTTGGATTTGCTTTCTTATACAAGCCAGGGTCACTGCCCGGGGATGGCAGCATCAATAGTGTGTTGGGGCTCTCCCACAGCAATCAGAAAATACAACAGGCTTGCCTACAGTCCAATCTGAGAGAGGCATTTTCTCAACTGAGGTTTCCTCTTCCTGGATAACACTGGCTTGTGTCAAAGTAAGAGAAAACAAAACAACACAACCAAATAGACATGTAGGCAAAACCCTCACGCACATAAGATACTTTTTTAAATTTAATTTCGAGAGCAAAATCTAGCAGAAAATTACAAAAGGGAAACAGCAGAGAAAGGTCAGCTCTTTTAAAAAGAAGCAGTACTGGGGGAAGTGGGCATCCATGAAGAAAAAGAAGAATAATCTTGACACAGAAGTCAACTCAAAATAGATCAATCGCAAACTTAAATGGGAAACTTAAAAATACGAGACCCGAAGAAGAAACAAGACAGAAAATCTCTGTGATCAACAACACCAATGATAAAATGACAATACAAACAACAGCAAAAGTATGACAAACTTTCACAGTTGCTTGTAGCAATGCAAATATGTCACAGTCACTGTGGAGTACATTTCATAGCTTCTTACAAAATTAAGCATAATTTTTTGAGACATTAAAGGTGTGCACCACATATAAAATTTCAGTGTGATTAAACAACCCTGTTACCCAAAGGAAAGAAAACCATATGTTTACACAAAAAATGCCTATGTGAATGTGTACAGTGGTTTATTTATTTATTTATTTATTTATTTATTTATTTATTTATTTATTTGTTGTCCCTGACCGGGTAAGTAAACAGATAAATTGTGGTAGAGGTCAAGCATAATGGCTCCTATCTGTAAGCCAAGCATTTGAGAGACAGGCAAGAGGATTTCAAGCCAGCCTCGTCTCCAAATAGATCTTGTCTCAAAATAACTGGAGGAAGGGACACAGGCTGGTGGCAGAGTATTCCCTTAGCACATGCAGGCCCTGGTTTCATTCCAGGCACTGCAAAGCCACCCAGCACCCCCAGCACCTACAGACATGGAACGCTGCTCAGCAGCAGCAAGGCTAATGGTCACATGTGCTCTGTGATAGCATCAAAAGGCTGTATATCGTACAACTCCATCTATATGACAGTCTCAAAAAGCCAAAACTACAGGAATTGGAAATGGTTTACTTATTGTTTGGGTGGGTTGTAATGGGAAAGGTCTGCTACACCGGAGCATGCCAGAATTTCCTACAATGCCAACTGCTCCAAATCCTGACTTATGGTAGTGGCTATGTGTCTATAGGCATCTGGCAAAACTCAGAAGTGTACAGTACTATATGTAAATTATACCTTAATAAGCCTAACTTTAAAAATTAACCTTGTGTACAAACAACATCCATAGCTAAGTTAATAAAACGAGGCCTCCAAGGAGGAAATAAAAAGGGTTAATAAGTTTAAAACCATTTCTTCAGGTTATCTATCTATATTATTGTATAATTATAATTATTTGGAATAGAAATAATGGATGAAAGCAGTAAATATCTATGTAAAATGCATTCAAATTGAAAATGAATTATAACAGTATAGCTAAGAAGTAGGTAAAGTGGCCTCTGAGATATATACAGTAAACAATTTGTCTCTGACTGATTCAATGCAAAGCCAACCAAAAATACATATTACATTAGAGGTTTGTGGCAAAGTTCAGAAAGTGAAAACCAAACAACTTTCCCAATATATTTTTAAGAATTTTACATGAGCCGAGCAGTGGTAGCACACGTCTTTAATCCCAGCACTCGGGAGGTCGAGGCAGGTGGATCTCTGAGTTCAAGGCCAGCCTGGTCTACAGAGTGAGTTCTAGGACAGCGTCCAAAACAATACAGAGAAACCCTGTCTCAAACAAAGAAAAAGAATTTTCCATGAGCAACAATTTTGTTCGTTAGTCACCTTTATGTTTTAGTGGGAAACAGAGACATTGGTTATTAGGATTATTTTAAACTTAAGACTTTAAGATGTCAGAAATAAAAAGTTTTATTGTGAGTTTTAAAAATAAATATACATTCTAAATCTGCATGTACCCTGAACACTTCTCAAATGAGTGTTAACACCTGCAGTAAAGATGGAAGATCACACATTAGGGGCAACCTATGAAGTGCCACTTGGAATGCATCATACCAATCGGAGAGGCAGCACCCAAATTGGAAGAGTTTTATTCAAACCAATGGAGCCTTTCATGGATCCCAGACCTCCCTATAGTAACCCAATTTTACCAGAAAAAAGCAGATAGTCACGGTATTAGAAGCAGCTATAACATTTCATTAAAAAAAAACCAAAGATATGTTTCATTTTGTGTGAAGAAATACGATTGTTCTCCACAAACCAGCCTGTAGTAACTCAACAGGCCTGAAATCACATATGTGTCATATCCTGCAAATGAAAACACCCGAATAAAGTATTCCACCTATATTAGAATGGATAGACTGTGACAGTCACAGACTGGGAGACGGTGCAGTTCTAAGAACAAGTGAACAAATGAAAACCATGGGGAACATGGACAAATAGTACAGAAACAAGGTTGAGCCAAAAAGCTACCACGCAACCAATAAGGCTGAATGGAGGCTAACTGGATTGGGAACGTGAGAGAGAGACAGACAGGAGACTGTCTCTTCCAGGAGAGCCTCTGGGGGAGTGGAGTTGCACGCGTTACAAAGGAGAGTGCAGTCAGCAACTACTCAGATTTGCGATTGTGTGCCCTCGCATGTTAGTACCGACTTCAAGAAAACATGAAAACATAAGAAATTAGGAAAGGGTGTGGCGGGGAAAGGAGACGAATACAAAGAATGCAGCACATGCTGTCCTCAAAACCGCAGAGCCAGATAAAATAGAAATACCATACTAACCATGAAACCAGGCAGTACTGGCTGGGTAAATTTTGTCTTGAAGGAATATAGCAACTGCTTCGAGTGTGCATCATAGAAAGAAAGCTGACCTAAAAGGAGTTAAGAAAAACCTAATTTATTACCCACAGTTATAACATCTAGGTTCAACATGTGATCATGTCAAAAGCTTTATTTTAACATTAGTTTTTATTACAAATTGCATGAGCCATACTTAACAATTCTCGTAAATCTAAAAACATTATAAGGACAAACTGTAAGCCAGATGGTGTTGGCACAGGCCTTAGATCCCAGCACTGCAGAGGCAGGGGAACTCTGAGCTCTAGGCCAACCTGGTCTACAAAGCTTGGGTTGTTACACAGAGAAACCCTATCTAGAAAAACCAAAACAATAAATGTCTAAATCTCGTTTTCTCCTGGTCCTCAAGACCTTAGTCGTATCCACAATCTATTAAGCTGCTGCACATGCAAATGAGGTTTTGCACTGCTGAGATTTGCCATTGCTGACATACTTAAGAATGCCATGAGATTCTCAAATAACTATGGTACATCATGTATCACTTCACTGCACACTTCTTGCTTTTTGTTTCTTGCTACTGACATTATTTGCTGTTTTATATTTATTTTATACGATGGAAATGTTAGACAGAAAACAAACTCAGTTTTCTCACGTAAGTTCAAAACTGGTTGTAAAGCGGCACAGCACCAACAGCCCACATCATTAGTGATGCGTCTGGAAGAGATACCGCTAGTGAGCGTGCACTACAGCAGTGGCAGGAACCGCTAGTGAGGGTGCACTACAGCGGTGGGGTCAGAGACTTTGTAGAAGAGAGGGCCGTGAAGACACGGACCACAGTGGTCAGCCTTCACAAATGGCAATGACCTTCTTACAACAATTACACCAAAGCTGCCAAGCAACTCGACGGGGACCCCTCGATGGTGGTCTGCTTGAAGCGACTGGAAGGAGAGAAGACTGCGTGCCTCTAAACTGATCTAAAGTGAGAACATTCTCAACTCTGCCTCTAATCCCATGCAAACAACCGTTTCTCAACGTGACTGGAAGGAGCATAGAGGGGACAGGACAATCGTGATGATTCGCTCCGTGGTCAAACCAACAACTCTCACTTCCTAAGGGCTCAGTGTGTGCACACGTGGTTCTCTCTCCCCTCCCTTCTTCCCTCCCTCGCTCTCAAAAAGTCACCATCATGGCCTGGTCAATCTGTCAGAGCCATCCCACCTGAGAAGTACGCTCAGCAAGTCCAGGAGATGCGTCCAACACTGCAACGCCTACAGCTGGCCCTGGTGACCAGAGGCCTGACCTTCCATCCAACAACCAACTCACAGTCCGTCAGTCTGTCTGCTAACTCACACACACACACACACACACTCACAGTCCGTCAGTCTGTTTGCTGACTAACTCACACACACTGCACTCACAGTCCGTCAGTCTGTCTGCTGACTAACTCACACACACACTCCACTCACAGTCCGTCAGTCTGTCTGCTAACTCACACACACACACACACACACACTCATAGTCCGTCAGTCTGTCTGCTGACTAACTCACACACACTGCACTCACAGTCCGTCAGTCTGTCTGCTGACTAACTCACACACACACTCCACTCACAGTCCGTCAGTCTGTCTGCTGACTAACTCACACACACTGCACTCACAGTCCGTCAGTCTGTCTGCTGACTAACTCACACACACACTGCACCCACAGTCCGTCAGTCTGTCTGCTGACTAACTCACACACACACTGCACTCAGTCCGTCAGTCTGTCTGCTGACTGCTAACTCACACACACTCACAGTCTGTCAGTCTGTCTGCTGACTAACTCACACACACACTGCACTCACAGTCCGTCAGTCTGTCTGCTGACTAACTCACACACACACTGCACTCAGTCCGTCAGTCTGTCTGCTGACTGCTAACTCACACACACACTGTACTCAGTCCGTCAGTCTGTCTGCTGACTGCTAACTCACACACACTCACAGTCTGTCAGTCTGTCTGCTGACTAACTCACACACACACTGCACTCACAGTCCGTCAGTCTGTCTGCTGACTGCTAACTCACACACACTCACAGTCTGTCAGTCTATCTGCTGACTAACTCACACACACACTGCACTCACAGTCCGTCAGTCTGTCTGCTGACTTCCTAGCTGTTCCATCTCGCACTTGCTCTCCTCTGGAGGTCCTTTGATGCTCTCCTCTTGGTCTGTATCCTACCCAGGTTGCTTCATTTGTCTCTTTTTCATCTATTCTAAATATAGTTGTTTTGTGCAGTTTCTCATTTTCTCTGTAAGCGGTTCCTAAAAAATATCAACTGCCACCAAGTAGAAACAGAAAAAAGCAATACTCCTATATACTTTCACAGAAGTAAAAGCACTTTGCACGTACTATTTCATATACATATATATATACATATATATAAAGTATATTCAAACACAAGCAGCTATGGGGAAATGACTTTCAGTAAAGTAAGCACACTTACCCCCATCAAAGTCACAAAACACCCCTATCTTCTCAGGGACAGGGGCGTCCAGAGCTTTGGCCTTGTTGTTATGCTTGGCAGCAAATGTGCTCTGCAACCAGCTGTTGACATGGATGCACCAGCTGGTGTTCGTCTTTCCCAACTGGTCAAACTTCCCCAAAGTTTTGTAAGCTACGCCCACACTATAGGATTTGCAATCCTTCTGGGCCTTTACTTCCCAATAATGTTGTCCACTTTCAATAGCAGTGTCTCCTACGAAAGATCAGAAAAAAAGTTTTGATGCTTAGTTGTCCTTAAGAATCACAGATTTTTATTTATCACATATTCTACAATAATTTCTGTTTTAGAGCAAAACTTAAAATGTAGCTCAGGCTAGCCACAAGCTCATTATCCTTCTACTTCAGCCTCCCAAGTACTGGATTACATATGCCATTATACCCACTAAATTTAATCATGTCAACAAAGATGCTAAATGCAGAGTCTGTGCTATAAATTTACATGTATTACTTATGTCTCTATAAATACAAAAATACTTCAAAACCTTTCCTTGTTAGAACCCCTTTCGAGCATTATAAATTCATGAGGCATACCATATGAGCTGAAGTGGAGATTTGAAAGTATCAGTAGGTCAGTCTGAAGATAAGTACGTCTAACTCTCAAAGTATTTAGGCTTCAATGAAGGAACTTCTATAGAGACTCATTCACTTTCTAGATGTGAGCAGAAAGCCTACAGTGTGCTACGTGGCCTCAAGTGAGAGCATTAAGCTTTAGCCTACCCAGCACTGTGTATGACTCCCCCGTAAAACGGTCTCTGCTGCCTCTTACTGCAGGTGGCCTGGAGCCTACAGACGTCCGTTTGGGGGAAGGTGTACCACTTCTAAAAAAAATCAGGAACAAAAGGAAAAACATTTTATGCTGGAAATGGTTCATAAATTAGGATTGCAAATCACAGCAAAGTCTCTGAAAACACTTCTAGTTATGTTGCAATATTTTATTTGATATGAATTATTAAAGTTATCAATACTTTAATATCAATACTTATTAAAGTTATAAACACTCAAATGTAAGAAGCCAACAACACAAAGCAGCTGAAAACACTAATGTCATGCAGACTGAGCAAGGCTGATACAAAAAACACACAGCTGAAATAAGAAACAATGCCAAAGTGAGTCAAGACTTGCTAAAGGGAAAAAAATTAACAAAGATCTTGGGTTATAGCTTATAAATATTTTGCAACTGAATTTAAATAAAAGAAAAGGCAAATCTAGGTTCTTTATAGAACCAAACTAAGTAATTGGTTTTTTTTAGGAGTAAAGTTACCTGAATCTATGTATTGGAAATACCAAATCTCAAAGCATGTGCACTTTACAATGGACAAGCTCCAACATGATCCCTTTTCATATCAAATAATAAGACAAGCAATCTAGACACTATTAGACTCTTCACCAACTCTCAAAATGTCAAGGAGATGAAATCTCCCAGGTGTTTCCATTGCACCCATCACGGCAGCGCCCCCAAGCTCCATGGTACACTTTTACAGTCTCAGTCCCTTGTCGCTTGTCCCTCAGGATGTTTGAAGTATGCTTTAACTACACTGGATTTGTACTTGAAAACATGTGCTTTTGTTGGTTAATACCATCCTAAGTTAGGCTGTAGAGAAAGCTCAAATGGTGAAGTGCGTCGTGTGCAGCAGAAGGGCTGGGTTTCAACCCCTAGAACGCCAGTGAAACCCGAGAACTGGGCAAGCGGAGACAGGTGGATCCACAGGGCTCACCGGCCAGCTAGCCTATTTGGTGAGTCCTAGGAAATAAGAGATCCAGTCTCTAAGTACAAGGTGGACAGCCCAGAGGAATACTGCCTACCTCTGCATGCGCATACTCACACACTGGAGGAGGGCAGATTTCCAGAGACTATTCTGAGCTATTGAGGGAAAATGGAAATGCTTTGTTAGCATTACTATTTAGAAATTTTCCAATACAGTTGCACTGGAAGTTTTCTTCCAGGCTGAACTTTGAGGCAGGCTCCTGAGGCCTGCCGGGAACAGGACTTCTAAAAGGCAAATCTGTCTTGAAGGCTGTGGGGCAAGGCCATCTTTGCTGGCTACAAGCGAGGTTTCCAGAACCAGAGAGAACACACAGCTCTTCTTAAAATTGAAGGTGTTTATGCCCGAGATGAAACTGAAGTCTACTTGGGCAAGAGATGTGCTTATGTGTATAAAGCCGGCGGCAAACCAGACAAAACCAGAGCGATCTGGGGGACAGTAACCCTGGCCCATGGGAACAGGGGCGTGGTTCATGCCCAGTTCCGAAGCAGCCCTCCTGCGAAGGCCACTGGACACAGAATCCATGTGATGCTGTGCCCTTCCAGGACTTAAACTAATGGAAATAAATAAATAAAAGTGGATTTGTGGCCGGGCAGTGGTGGCGCACGCCTTTAATCCCAGCACTAGGGAGGCAGAGGCAGGCGGATCTGTATGAGTTCGAGGCCAGCCTGGTCTTCTACAGAGCGAGTTCCAGGGCAGCCTCCGAAACAATACAGAGAAACCCTGTCTCAAAAAAAAAAAAGTGGGTTTGTGCTCTTCTATTTTTTTCACCAAAAAAGTTTACTTCCAAAGAAAATAGTAGAAAGTAAATACCAAATAAAATTAGCATACAAATCCCTTCTAAACACAAAATAAGAATGAAGATATTTAAAGTCATTTCATCTGATCCAATGATTTCAGTTTTCGTTGTTTGAATGTTATCTTGCTGTCAAGAACAGACATATTAGATGGTTTCCAGTAATTAAACTAACCCAGACTGCTTCAAGTATCTACTCTGTAGTGAATGCTATTAAGTAGCACAATTACAATAAAATCTGCATGGTTTAGTTTAATCCTTCCTAAAGGAGATCAAAAGCTCTTTATTTTTATACAATTTTAAAAATACATTAAAAATGAAAATTTGCCAGGCGGTGCTGGCACACACCTTTGATGGCAGCACTTGGGAGGCAGAGGCAGGTAGATATAGATCTCTATGAGTTCAAGACCAGCCTGGTCTACAGAGTGAGTTCCAGGACATCCAGGACTGCTTCACAGAGAAACCCTGTCTAGAAGAACCAAAAATAAAATAAAAAATGAAAATTGAAAAAAATTCATGAGCATAAATACTGCTGTAAATAAAACTGGAAGTGTATGCGAGAGACTATTAACAATAATGATGTGACATCTTAGAATAATAATATTCTTGCCCTTAGAAGTGGCCTCTTGTAAATGACACACTGCACTGTTAAGCAGCATGAGCGGGGTGAATGAGGACTGACGAATGAAAACTGTGAACTCCTGGGGCAGGAAGTGGGGGGGGGGACAAGAAGGAACTGAGTGGGAGAAAAACCGACAGGTGCTTCTAAGAAGTTCTCCAAGACAGAGGACTGGACTCCACAAACCCCGAGTGTGCCTGCACACGCCAGCAGTCTTGGCACTCAAGGGCTGAGGCAGGAGGACTGCAAGTTTGAGGATAGTCTAAGAGCAGGTGGAAGCCGGGAGGAGCTACATGTGGAGTCCGTCTGAAATGTTGGAGGGAAGGGGAAAATGGAGAAAAACATTATTTTGAACAAATGTATTTTTTAACCTTTCTAAAGAAGTTAAAAAATACAGCAGATAATGAATAACCAAATATAATTAGGATACAAATTATTATATAAAAATTTGGTTCTTATGATGCAATGCTCTCAAGAGTCATTAATAGTAAGACTACAACGTCTGTAAGCACTGCCAAATAAGTAACATCTCGAACAGAAAAAAAATCTACATCATACTCTCCTTTCTGATTCTTTTTATATAAATTGCTGAGGAAAGTTAAAAACCTGATTATAAACACTCTGTGTTTTCAAGTATTATATCTTGAACTAAAGAGGAAAGACGACTTGTTTTTCTGAAACTGAAAACAAAAAGTGGATAGAAAGACAGACATCTCCCTCCTCATTATGCTGTGGTGGGGAGGACAAAGCTGCTTGAGGCTGGTAGGTGTTCAAGACACACCCTGAACTCAAGGGAACCCACAATGCCAGAGGCTCTGGGCTGAAACCAGCAACACTTCCCTTTTTACATCAGCTCTGGGCCTCCTCCACATGAAGAAGCCACTCTGTTACTTTACAAGTGTGGAAAGCACTGTTTTAGATGCAACACTGCGGAACCCTGAAAAGGAACAGGGTTAAAATAAGATATTCCATGACAAAACCAGATTCATGCAATACATATCCACAAAACCAGCCCTACAGAAAAGTCTAGAAGGAAAACTCCAACCCTAGGAAGTTAACTACACTCAAAATAACATGGGCAATAGATAATCTTACTTTACCATAAATCAGAAATATGGGGCAAACTCACACACAAAACCACCACCAAAAACTAATCTAAAGCAAACAAGAATCAACAATCAATGGTCATTAATATCCCTGAATATCAATGGTCTTAACTCACCTATACAAAGACACAGGCTAATAGAATGGATACGAAGACAGAATCCATCCTTTTGCTGCATACAAAAAACACACTCAATTTCAAAGACAGACACTACCTCAAAGTTAAGGGTTCGGAAAAGACTTTCCAGTCAAATGGACATAAGAAGCAAGCAGGTGTAGCTATCCTAATATCTAACAAAATAGACTTCAAACTAAAATTAATCAAAAGACATGAAGAAGGTCATTTCATATTCATCATAGGAAAAATCAATCAGGAAGAAGTCTCAATTCTGAACATGTATGCCCCAAATATAAAGGCACCCACGTTCATAAAAGAAACATTACTAGAACTCAAATCACACATTAAACCCCACACACTTAGAGTGGGAGACTTCAACACCCCACTCTCACCACTGGACAGGTCCACCTGACAGATACTTAACAAAGAAACAATGGAACTAACAGAAGTTATCACCCAATTGGGTTTAACAGACATCTACAGAACATTCCACCCAAACAAAAAAGAATATACCTTCTTCTCAGCACCACATGGAACCTTCTCTAAAATCGACCACATACTTGGCAATAAAGCAAACCTCAACAGATACAAAAAAAATTGGAATAACCCCCTGTATCTTGTTGGATCACCACAGCTTAAAATTATAATTCAACGTCAACACAAATTGCAGAAACCTCACAAACGCATGGAAATTGAACAATACTCAACTGTATCACCCCTGGGTAATGGAAGAAATAAAGAAAGAAATAAAAGATTTCCTGGAATTAAATGAAAATGAAGGTACAACATACCCAAACCTATGGGACACTCTGAAAGCAGTTGTAAGAGGAAAATTCATAGCACTAAGTGACCACATGAAGAAACTGGAGAATTGCCACACTAGAGAATTAACAGAACACCTAAAAGCTCTAAAACAAAAGGAAGCAAACTCACCCAGGAGGAGTAGACACCAGGAAATAATAAAATTGAGAGCTGAAACCAATAAAGTAGAAATAAAGAAAGCAATACAAAGAATAATGAAACAAATGGTTCTTTGATAAAATCAACAAGATAAACAAACCTTTATCAAACCTAACCAAAAGACAGAACGAGAACATGCTAATTAACAAAATCAGAAATGAAAAAGGGGACATAACAACAGACACTGGGGAAATTCAAAGAATCATCAGGTCATATTTTGAAAACCTGTACTCCACTAAATTGGAAAACCTAAAGGAAATGGATGATTTTCTGGGTAGATATCACTTACCAAAATTAAATCAAGAACAGATAAACAATTTAACAGATCTATAACCCCTAAAGAAGTAGAAGCAGCCATAAAAAGTCTTCCAACCAAAAAAAGTCCAGGGCCAAATGGCTTCAGTGCAGAATTCTACCAAAAATTCAAGGAAGAGCTAATACTAATACTCTTCATGCCA